ATAGTGTGGTCATCCGGCGATACGAAATTATACTTGTGGTTTACTTCCGATTTACATTTGGAGGATATATATTTCTATTGGAGAAGGCGGGGTCAGTGGGGGAATATAATATAGTACCGAAATTCATTAGACAATTTCATTAGACACTAAAATCTGCCTGTCCAACCGTTACGGTACTTACCGTAAATACTGTAATAGTACCCCAGCTCCCTCGTACAGTCGCGTAGTCGCAAAAGTTTTTTAGTTTCTCATTTTCTTGAAAGCGCTCGTACTTTCAAAAAATGCGTCTCTGGTATCAAAAAATAGCTGAAATTCAGAGCTATTTTTTGATACCTAAGCGCGCATTGTAGCACATAAACCAGTGTCGAGAAAAACTCGTTCAAAGCTAGACTACGCAACGCTCCGCACCGTCATTATGGGGGTGGGGTACTATTACAGTATTTACGGTAGGTAGCGTAATGGATAACGATTGGATCTACCGCACGCAAGATCAGGGTTCGGTCCTCGCAGCTTTTCAGAGTTTTTCTTTTGAACAACTTCTAGCATTTTGCAACTAATTGCATTATTATGTAGAAAAACGATTCAAGAATATAGACTAATCTCTTTCAAATGCAAAGACTATAAAGTAATCGTTAGAAATGATCTTTGGTATCAAAAAATAGCCCTGAATTTCAGCTATTTTTTGATACCTAAGCGCGCATTGTAGCATAAACCAGTGTCAAGAAAAACTCGTTCAAAGCTAGACTACGCAACACTCCGCACCGTCATTATGGGGGTGTGGTACTATTACAGTATTTACGGTACGCAAAAACTTAATATTTTGATGGGTATTAGTGCAAATATTTTTTTCTAGACAATTTTCAAACAAAAACCCAATAAACTATTGAAATCTTGAGAAACTTCTACAATCCAGAAATTGCCTAGCAAAGATCGATAAGATCTCTTAAAAAAAAAAACTCTTAAAACTTTTCCTTGTTCAATATCCCAAAAATTCAATATCCCATAGATCAATCAAGAAAAAGCGTAAAAGTTTTCCCAAGTTTGGCGCAAAATTTTCCGATCTATAGATCAGATAAAGAGTATCCGTTGATTTAAGAGATAATTTATCGTAAAACATACCCCCTTCTACAACAATTTGTCAACTTTTTTTTTTGAGAGATCTTCAAAGCTTTCTGCTTTTCCAATCGAAAAGCTTTAGATTAAGATCTGGAGAGTGAAAAGTTGTGTATGCCGAACGCACAACTTTCCTCCTCACTCTCACAGTTCTCATTCGAGAAGCGTTCGACTCGATCCAATCTCAAGATTTCTTTACACTTCAACTTAAACTTTCAAGGTTCAAGACAGTGTTTTTGACAGAAGGATTTTCGCTTAAATTTTTCATCTTTTTTGAGAACTTTACACAAAAGAGACAACAATAACTTGCTTGATGAGGCTTGCCTGGTTTGCTTAACTTGATGAGGCTTGCTTGGTTTGCTTAACTTGATGAGGTTTGCTTGGTTTGCTTAGCTTGATGAGGCTTGCCTGGTTTGCTGAACTTGACGTGGTTAGCTTTCACTCTAGATTCTGTTAACTGAATCAATTCTATTCGAATTCGGATTCGGATTCTAATTTGAATAATTCTAATTCGAATTCTAATTTGAATGCTGAAATCCTTTTTAATTCAAATTTCCTTTAGTCTTGATTGTTTGATTTTTCCATTCCTTGTTTGCTCAACTCTTTTTTATCCATAAAATTCACTTTTCTTGCCGGGATGGCTAGAGATTTGACATTGAGCTGAACGATTGCCGAGAAATGATTTCTTTCTTGATTTTCTGTGGGGATACAGCAGTGTTAATAGGATTTCACGAATGGATGTTCTTTGAAACACACAAATATTGTTGGAATTGTTAGAATTGTTAGAAAGTACAGTAAAGTACTTAAAAAGTACAGTAAAGATCATCTAGCCTGAAAATGATTGATACTAACTTAATTAACTAAATGATAAGACAAGAAAAAAAGATAAATTAAGAGCAATACTTTGTGGTAAGAGCTATCAGTTCTCAAATCTTTCTAGCAATTTCAAAATTTTAGAATCTTTCAGAATCTGAGTCTTAAATAAAGTCCAATCAGTTTCCTCAGTGAGAAACGAGATTTTAAAATGCACTTAACAAAATATTAATTATCTTTTCTCGGCTAATAGCAGCCAGCTTTCATTTCTATTGACTTCGATCATCCGCATCATCGGCTTACGATCAGCTTACAATTAGCTTAAATTAAGATACAGTAACGAGCTCAAGCACTCCTTTCCATTTACAGCATTCGAATGAATAAATCTTTATATTTTTTGTATTTCAGTTTTAGATAAAATTGAATTGCTTTCTATTGACAGCTATTCATTCATTCAATTCAATTCATTCGCTATGTCTATGATGTGCTTTTTCAAATGAAAACGCCGGATCACTCCCGAGACGAGCCAGTGTTATCGCTCGAGTTATCTGAGTAGCAAAAAAGAAAACTGAAAAACTCAACCGGTTTCTTTTTCCCCAACTACCACCACCGTTCTTTTTTTTGCGCACACCAAAAATTTTTCTCGAGGCTGGATCTCTCTCAGGGTGAGCGAGTAGCCACCAGCCGCTTCTCCTTTTCTTCCCACACATCATTTTTTCTGGCATTTCTCCTTAAAAAGTATACGGTATTTTTGAGATTTTTCAATATTTCTACCCAACTTTTCTCCTAATATTAAAGTTATTCTTAAGTTTCTTTGCAAATTCGAATGCCTGGATAGCGTTATATAAAGATTGAGCTAGGCAAACACTAATTGAATTGAGTTTTCCAGTTACAGAATTTGAATGGCTTCTCAACTTTTCTGACTTCAATTTTTCATATATGAGAATGAGCAATCTGTAAAGAGATTTGTTTAAAGAATCAGAATCAGAATTAGAATCCTCAGAATCAGAAGATCCTACAATACCCCCATCCTATGGAAACCCCCATCCTATGGATACCCCCATCCTACGATACCCCCATCCTATGGATACCCCCATCATATGGACACCCCCATCCGATGGATACCCCCATCCTGAGGATGGGGGTATCCTTCGAGCGTATATAGAGAAAAATCCTCAGATTCAGAATCCTCAGAATCAGAACCAGATAGCTTTTACAAAAGTGAAAGAATTGACAAGAAAAAGTAGATTTTTGGAAAGGGGAACGATCTTTTGCTTTCCAGACAATTGCTCTAACTATTTCTATGCCATTTCTAAACTATCCGATGCCCTAATTTGCCAAAAGAAAGAAGGAAAGATAAAAGGAAAGAAGGCTTCTATGAAGTTTTTTTTTTGACGCTTTTTCAAACTTTGCAAAATTTATAAGCGATTCAATAAGCAGATTGAAATTTTCAAGCGTAGAAAGCCAGAAAAAGTTGATTAAACCTAACAGTTTTCAAGCTTATTATCAGTTAGTTTAAAGAGTTTCAGTGGCTCATTCAGAATTTCTAGGGATATCATGTTTATCTGCATCTCTTCGGGCGCACAAATATTTTCCATCTAAACCCTGAATAACTTTGAGTAAATAAAGAAGTGTTTAGATTTGTCAATGTAAGGTTTCAAATTAAGTCTTTCACTAATTCTGTAATTGAACTCTTGTTTGTCATTTACTTTTAAAAAAACCCAAAACTTTCACACATTTTCCTTCTAAATGAGATAAAAATCTTAGCAATGAGAGAGAAAAAAATGGAAAAGAACATTTATAAGAATATATCCGAATCGCTTTTTCTTTTCTTTTCTTTTCTTTTCTTTTCTTTTCTTTTCTTTTCTTTTCTTTTCCATTTACTTTTCTTTTCTTTTTCTTTTTCTTTTCTTTTCCATTTACTTTTCTTTTCCATTTACTTTTCTTTTCTTTTCTCTCCTTTTTTGACAACAAAATCCTTTAATTTTCTTTTATTTTACAATGAGAGAAATCCTTTCTTTTATGCCATTCTCAGCGCTGTCAAAATTAATCGTCCGATTTATGGATAAATGATAAATTTCAATGAAAATTGGGATTGGGATGATTTTAGATGTGTTAGTTGAGTTGAAAAGAGAGACATTTTTCGCTTACAAGTTCGACAAGAGTGCTTTTTTTTTCTCGTTTTTGCAAAACACTTTTAATTTTTAGGAATAGATTTTGTGAAAGCTGCTTGGGTTTAAACCTTGTTTCTAAAGTCATTCTTGAGTCGTAATTTGAGCAAAATGCAAACACGTTTCTTTACTTTCTCGTCTGGTGCCCGGGGAAATATTTGAGAGGATTCAATGCACCAGAAAAGGTGTGCTTGCATTTTTGAGCACAAAGCACGGCTTTAACTAGAGCTGTTTGTTCAGATGATAAAGTTTGACTAGCTTGTAAACTTTGTAAAATAAAACCTAGTTCTATTTTCTAGCTAAGCCAGGGTTAATCAATTCAGAACAAAACTAGAGCTGACTTTCTGACTTCAGAACAAAACTAGAGCTGTTCCGGAGTTGGCTAACTATTTTTCTAAACCTGAAACAAGATTACTGTATGTTTAAGCTTTAGTTAGATTTTCTGTGCTTTTAGCTCTAAAAACTTGCTGCAAAAAGCTGCAAAAAGATTCAAGAATTTTAGAAAAATCAGCTTTTCCTCATCGATTTTTCACGCAAATCAGCAACTTAGATTCCCCTTTCATCAACTCAACGAAAAATTGTCTTAACATTGGTTTGAGTGGCTTGAAATGATAGCTTTCTTCTCGTGAACAATTTTCGAGACTTTCTCTTTTCCTTCGTCCCTTTCAAGTTCGATTTCACTACGTTGTTCGTTTTTTCTTACAAAACACTCATTTGTCGGGTGTTTATTCGATTGTTTCCCCTTCAAGGACAGTTAAAATTCTTTTACTTTTCTTAGATGATTTCCTAGATGATTTCTTAGATGATAGATATTGATTTAATTTCTTTTTCTTTTTATTTTAGATTTAAATTTGTTTATTTCTGTAAATTTTAGGGTCCCCACGACTGCAGAGGCCGGCACTGATGCGGCCGAGTCACTCGATTGCCGTTTTACTTTTCGCACTTGCACTTTATGGAACAGGTCTGCATTGAAAATAACCATGAAAAAATAGGAATTTTTTTATTTATTGACTCTTTAATGGCGAGTTGAACGTTGGTTTTTTATGGGTTGAGGCTGGGAAGAAGCCGGGCGCCGGGTTTCGAACCGGCGACTTATCGGGCGAACGCTCTACCAATGAGCTAGACCGACACAGATCCCATTGCCGTAGAGTAGGGCTTTATCGCTTTATCGGCTTTATCGCTTTATCGGCTTTATCGCTCTCACTTATCGGGCGAACGCTCTACCAATGAGCTAGACCGACTCAGATCCCATTGCCGTAGAGTAGGGCTTTATCCCTTACTGAAGTGGTGAAAAAGCTAAGCCCATTGCCGCATCATCGCTTACAATCGGCTCACAATTAACTTCAATTAAGATACAGTAACGAGCTGAAGTACTCAAGTACTCAAGTAATCCAAGTACTCAAGTACTTTTCGAACAGCATGCGAATGAATAAATCTTTATATTCTTTGTATTTCAGTTTTAGGTAAAACTGAGAAAAAGCTAGCTACATATAAAATAAAAGAGTGAAATCGTTTACCTGATCACTTTAACATCACTAAGCTCATCTTTGTCGGTATTCTTTGAATCTTTAGCACAAATTCAATAATCTCTTTTTTATGTTATTCAAAGATAAGCAGATCTAGATAATGATTTGTTTCAATCTTATCCCAACTAAAGCGAAATCAATTCTAATCTTCTTTCAGCAAAAGCTGATGACGATAATCCGATAACGAGTCGCTTCAAATGTCGATCAAACGGCTGTTGCGATCACCACGAATGGTTTGTTGGCTCAAAGAATTGCTCAAAAAATTTGATTGACCTAGAATTTGCATTCCTTGAGTTCAAAAATCTTTACTTGATTTGATTTGGGTCAAACAGTGATTAGTTTAATTTGTTGTTGCTCGGGAAAAAGGGGTAAATTGGCCTTGAAACGCAAGGAAAACACGCCCGAAAACGCCCGTTCCGTTTTTGAGTTCTCGAAAAGTAAAAATCTCGATGAATGATAAACGATGAGAAAGTTGAAAATAGGAATAGGCCTTGATTTAGAACATCTAAACTATCAAGTTGACTATCAAGCTTCAGTTGACGCGTACAAAAGACAAAACGAGAGTTAGTGCAAAATAGAAAACAGTTTGTGGGAATCTTCTCCAAACAATAATCGTTCAAAGTTCAAAGACTGATTCCAACTCCATTTCTAGGTGTCGCTTCTGGGCGTCGGTTGGCGAGTGTCGAACGAACTCTGAATGGATGGAGGACAATTGTCAACTTGCTTGCGGGACATGTCGGAAGAGTCGGTTTCTCAATCATTTCAAATCACTATTGTTCGTTGGTGTACTTTGTGCTCAAAAATATAAACCCACCCTTTCTAGTGCACTTGTTTTTGCGGTTTTTGCAGTAGGAAAATGCAAAATTTCTGCTTGAAAAAGTGCAGGATTAAGTGCGCCAGATGGGATGCGATTTCCGTTCAAAGTACATACTGTAAATACTGTAATAGTACCCCACACCCCTCGTACAGTCGCGTAGTCGCAAAAGTTTTTTAGTATTTCATTTTTTTCAAAGCGCGCCCGTACCTTCAAAAATTGCGTCTTTGGTATCAAAAACCTGATAGCTGAAATTCAGGGCTATTTTTTGATAACTAAGTGCGCATTGTAGCATAAACCAGTGTCGAGAAAAACGCGTTCAAAGCCAGGCTACCTGATGCTCCGTCTTTTGATATCGAAAAATAGCCCTGAATTTCAGCTATTTTTTGATACCTAAGCGCCCATTGTAGCACATAAACCAGTGTCGAGAAGCACTCGTTCAAAGCTAGACTACGCAACACTCCGCACCGTCATTATGGGGGTGGGGTACTATTTCAGTATTTACGGTATGCAAACGAAGTCAATGAGTAATCTTTGCATGCGGTGACCCGTTTCGTTTCTCGTTTTCTTGCATCCAAGTGCCACGCACAACAACAGCAAATGAAAGAATCGTCTTTGCATGTAAATGTTGTAAATGTGTTTCAGACTTGCCACAAATACTCAATCGTCTCCTCACAAGACACGAGGGTGGACGAGGGGGAAACATGCCCGGGATCCCACCACATCGAGGTTCCCCCAGAAATAGAAAAAAAAAGACGCCTATCTCTCTAATCTTTTTTTGCTAGCTGATGCGCTTTAGTTGCTTTAGACAGGAGAATTCTTTTTTCAAAATCCCCCAATTCAAAATCCTCTAGAAAATCTTTCAAATTATTGATACTATGGGCTTCATAGTCTCCAGAACATTCTTATAGGTACTCTATCAAATGACGGTAATAATATCTAGTAGTAGTTTCTCGGGTCATAAATAAACAGATCAAAATAGTATGAATACAGTATTTTCGAATACTTAGAAAAACGGAAGACGAGAGCTTTACGATAAGATTCTTCTACTTATTTCAATGACAAGTGACAGGTCAACATTAAGGATTTGATGTAGAAAAAAAGGTTAATGTTTTTGTAAAAGGATTATAGACCTCTAGAACCCTTAGATTTTTATTAAAGGCTTGAAAGATACGCGCAAAACAGCCCCTTGGCACGCAACTCAATCTGCAGCTTTTCATCAACAGATTTTAAGGGCTTTCATATGGTTTGACATGTTTCTTTTCTAGTCAAAAAGCCCAAAAAAAACAAGCAACGAGCCATCGCTGTTTGCCTTGGAATCTGAACTTCGACGTGCTATAAAAAGCCTAGGTAAATAGCAGATCCACCACAAGGGTAGTCTCGCAGGGGCAACAGCAGGGGCAACGGTCAAATTTGCATGAAATGGCTTATTCATTGATATTTGCATGACATGGCTTATTCATTGATATTTGCCGTTCAAAAGCTTGTCAGTCTTTTAGTGGGGGACTATTCTGCAGATCCAAAAAGAAAGGTGGGGGGAGGGGGGCGATAATGTAATACTCCCAAAAAAAACTATTTCATGTAAGTGAAGTGTCATTCTATTAAAGGGTATCATTCTATTTAAGGATATCATTCTAATAAAGCATTTACGGTAAATAATGTTGCATGGCAAGGGGTTTTTTTGAGCGCATCTTCCAAGCCTTTAATATAAATCACAAAAGCATTCTACAATTTGTATAAAGAAATTCTTTGGAGAAAGTTATTGTAATTTTTATATTAAAAAGGAATTAAACCGGAGCTACAGCCTGTTCACGAAGCTACAGCGAAGATATAGCCCAAAAGCTGTAAGGCGATTATTTGTGGTCACCCTGTAGATAAACATCAACGCGAAAAGCAATAATTTTAAAGTGATTTGTTAAAGTTTGTTAAATTATATGTTTTTTATCTATTTGTTTCTTTTTTAAGATTAGATTTGTACAAAATGAGCTTTAAAACTAGATATATTAGAACTAATATTGATATATTAGTTCGCATCAATATTGAACATCCTTTAAACCCCTCGCCATCCATCCACTCAAGCACCTTGGGCTCAAATCTCTAACTAATTAGAAGCTCTCGTTTTTAGAATGCACAATCCGTTAACACACACTTTAGATTGCAAGCACGTTTCACTTTAAACCTTCTACAAAACTTTCACTTGTCACGCTTTTCTATTGTTGTGTGTGCGTCCTCAGTTCTTGGTTTCCTCCTGTTTTTTATAAAATAAAATTTTTTTGAGACACCTCTCACACTAATCTTTAGTTTTCTCTTTTTCAATGCACTGATTATCTTGTGATTTCAGGGTTGTTGACGATGAGACGACCAAATCCTTTCCGACCGGCCTCCCCTCCCCGACCACCAGTCACCCGTCCACCCACTCGTCTCACCCGGCCAACTTTCCGACCAACAACAGCCCCTGTGACTGCTGCCCGAACATTCCCACCCCGTCAACCAGTTACAAGACCTGTGGGTTTAGCTTTATAATTACTTGGATTTTGCTTGGAAACTTTTTAAGGGCTTCAAATTGTTAGATATAGTGACAACACTTTTTAGTATCTTTTTAGTATCCAGAACTTTTGTAGTGTATCCTTGAAACTTGCAAATTTTAGATGCATTTTAATAAGCTAGCTTTCTTAAACTATTCCTTACAGAAGCTTTAACTTTTTATATCGTTTTTAGCGACCAGTGTTTACCCAAACGCGTGCTCGAGTCACCGCTCCACCAACGAGGTTTGTTGTTTTTTTTTAATCCCACAGCTTTTGCGTCAGTGACATTTGCGTCAAATTGGCTTCAATTCATAGTTGATAATTATTCTTAGAATATTAGAATTGTTAGAATAATCCAAGTTGAAGCGGCAGAGCTGGAGCTGATTCAATTCAAAGCTAACGTCATCTGATTCAATTCAATGAGTCATACTTGGGCTATAAGTAGAGCTAAACTGAAGCTTGAAGTTATCTCTTAAACAATAGATTAGTACTCACAAGTCAAAGCACAGACAAATGTTTTTAGCTGATAAGCAGTAAGGGAAAATTTCCCAGCGATTCAGCGTAAATGTCACTGACGCAAGAGTCGCCAATCCCCCAAAAACGCCGCAAATTTATGTTCTAGCCGCAACGAGAGCCACTCAAACCATTCATTCACTTTAGCAATTAGGCCAATCAGTTTCCTAAGCACTCACAAGATTTGGGCAAAAATAATCCCGGTTTGGGGTTTTTCAGCAACCTTGCCACCACCGAATTCACGACGATTCGGCTGATCACCGTGCCACCGACGACAACGGTGATGAGCACAACGACAATTGGACCGACAAGCCCTTTTGGGCACACCCTTCTACCGCCTGGTTTCCAGTTTCAGCCAGGCGCCCGGAAGAGACCATTTTTCCCGTTCTTTATGCCATTCCCCGGAAAAGCACCATTGATAACGAAGAGGCCGATGGCGGTGCCGAGTACGACAAGTACCACGACGACAACGACAACAACAACGACCACGACTACGACAACAACAAGAACCACAACAAGAACCACAACTACAACAACTACAACAACTACAACAACTACAACGACGACAACTACTACAACAACCACACGGTGAGGGCTATGAATGCCCGGAATGTGCATGCTTTGTGCATGCATGCTTTCAAGCATTTCCTCTTTTTTTTTGCATAACATTTGACTGGAGTTGGTTGGCTAAAGTGTCTGAATTAATACTAAACTTTTGAGAAAACGTAGTAAGAATCTAGAACTATAGAACTATAGAACTATGCTACTACAGCACAGTACTATTGTCTACCAGCATTCTACAGATTCTGTACTATTGCTGTGAGTACTTTGTGTACTGTGATATGTATTACTGGAGGCGTACTGTAACAATGTAGTACTGTAGTACAATGTATAGGCCCAGTATTGTATTATTTAGTGAACTACGGTACTGTAAGTTGCCTACGACAGTACTGTGACTACTGTAAGCTTAACTATAGTACTGTAAGTACTACTACAGTACTGTAAGTTAAGCTATACCTAAGAGCTAGACTACGGTAAGCCGTAGACTCTTTCCAACTCCAATCTCACCTCTCATTTCTCTTGCGTTTACCACACTTGCACAATTAAACCTTTTTCCACAACTTTCCACAATTTTCAGCGTTTCTTTTTTTGGGATTTTGTGACTAAAGACTAAAGAGTGTTGTGGAGTGCAGTGAAGCTTCAGACTGAACCGTCCCCGTGTTCCACCATCCCGGCCATTCACCCGTCAGCCGTTTCCCAATCTCACAATGAGACGACGTCTCCCATCTAGACTCAACGCTGTCTTCAATCGTCGCCCTCCTGCAGTCACCGTTCGTCCTTTCTTCACGCAAACCACTCGTCAGCGTACGACAACACCGATTACTCGGTTAGGTTTTCCTTTAGGACGTGTACTTTGTGCTCAACATAGAAACGCACTTCTTCTAGTGCAGATTCTGTCATTCTAAACTGGAATGAAGAAGTCAGTGCTAAGGGGAAAAAAAACACATTAGTAAATGGTTAAAAAAAAAAGAGGAAATAAGTGTGCCAGAAAGCGTGCTTTTGTTAGAGCACAAAGTACTTGTTTACTTTACAATAAACCGGTCAAAAAAAATTACGGTAATATAGCGAAAAATTTTTTCTCAAAGAGTGATCTAATTTACTTACTTTTTCTCGAATTTTTAATATAATTATTGGCATTAATAATCTCATAATTGTGCTGTGAATTGAAATTGAATTAAACTTTAAATTTTAAATGCATGAATGAAAAATGATTGAGCTACTAATTTCAATTGTTTAGAATTTTCAAAAATCAAATGAGAATGCAAGCAAATTTTGCGTGATTTTTTTTTCCTTTTTCTATCGCATGCATGCGGAGAAAATTTACCCCTTATTTAACTCTTTTGACTTTTCTTTTTTTTCTTTCTTTCAACACGAGGCATGTCGTGTGTATTTTTGAAGAAGCTAACAAAGCTTTATTGTATCTTGAACGTGTTTAGACCACCTCCTCCACCACCACCTCCACCACCACCACCACCACCAGCTCCCCGTCCAACCCCAGCGCCTGTCATCGTCCAAGCGAACCCTGGACAAAATCTATCTCCCCCACCTGCTTTCCATGAACGGTGAGATAAATAAAATAAAAGAAATAAAAGACCCTATTATTCTCTAATAATAGTGCGCCTAAATTCCTCGAAATTTCGAAAACCAGAACCTATTGATGTGCGGTCGGAAAATGTAACTGATGAGGAGAACTTATGAGTGTCCTTTATGCGGCCGCGTAATAGCTCTCAATCTGGTACACGCTCCCGATACACCTTAGAGTGTTGAGTTTCTGTGAAAAATTGGAAACCGTAAAATCATCACCAACTTGGCGACACTACTATTAGAGAAAATATGGTACCAGATTTGGACTAGAACTGCTGGCGTGACTGCCTGAAGACTGCCAGGTCTGGCATATTTTTGGGTCATACTACTTTGGGTCTAAAGATAGGGGTTTTTTTTTGGGTCATACTACTTTGAGTCCCTGGGTCAATTGAGGCTATGACTTGATCAAGTTGGGTTATGCAGAATCTTGGCCTGATTCTAGCCTGGAGCCTGGCCAGGCCCTGGCCAGACCCTGGCCAAACCCTGAGCCTGGCAGAACTCAGAAGAGTCACCCGGAAGCCAAGCAAGAATAGCCCTGGCAAAGGACTAGATTTATAGCTGCAATCTATTGGCAAACTTAGCCCAATTAGTCCAGGGACAAGCCAAAAGCCAGGGCCAGGCTTGGCCTGGTCTTCTGGGTATTTTTAGCCAGGTCTGTAAAGTTAAGCAATGACCGAGAAAGTGATTTGAAACGAACGACCTAGCCATAAGTTTTCAGCTCAACAGCAGCTCAGAATGCCCGCTGTCTCCAACTCTTGCGCAATCCACCCGAGAATCTCGCCGAGATCCTTCACCGCGAACGTCTCTTCCAACCAGTTGAGGGTATGTAAATTCTTGAAATTCAACTATTCATTTTTCAATTGTCAGATCAATCTGGGCGACGACCACTCGATTTGGACCAAGTGGTGCGATCGAATCTCGCCAATGCTTGTGTGCCGAGAAATGACGAAGCCGAGTGTGAACGATCGGCTTGTTATCATTTATACTTCAGGTAGGAGCACTTTTCTTGATTAATTGGTTATTTGTAAGCAATTTACCTACGACTTATCTAGAACTTTCGACGGAACGTGCAACAATGTGAGAGATCCACTCCAGGGTGGTGCTTATCGTCCGTACACTCGCCTCCTCCCGCCCAACTACGATGATGGACTGCATGAGCCTGTTGGTGAGTGAATCGAACTTGTATTTACAAGTTAATCCTACAATTTTGTTGCATAAGCCAGTACTACAAAAGACAGTTTATGGCTCAAACTTTAACCAACGAAAAACCGAGATAGATTGCTAGATTCACTAAAATGAATACCTCCAATCGATTCCGCGGCCCTGAAAACCCCAGGGTACAAATTTCCAGCTAAATTTCCTCTTTTTGTGCCATCTACAAGCCAAAAGAAGAATCACAGTGTAAACTTATGAGTGTCCTTTATGCGGCCGCGTAGCTCTCAATCTGGCATACGCTCCCGATAGACTTCGTTCAAATCTAGGTGGCCTTTTCCCGGAGTCTCGTCCAAATCCTCGTGTCGTCACCCGTACGATCATTTCCTCGGATGAACAAGTGCTCTCCAATGAATTCAACGCGCTTCTCATGCAATTCGGGCAATTTGTATCGCACGATATGGCCAAGGTAAATTGAGAACTTGGAAATTCGTAGAATTCTCCTTCATCTGTGACGAAAACCTTTCCAGACGACCCTGGTCCCCTCATCGAAATGCAATGTTTGCCAGAATATGACCTCTCGTTGCATGGCCGTCCGAGTGATGCCTGATGATCCAAATCAGACGTTTGTTTTAGATTGAAAATTGTTTAAAACTTTCTGTTCAGTTTCCGTCACGATACCTGCATTCGTGTCTCTCGATCGTCACCAATTTGTGGCTCTGGAAATTTGAAACCCCGACAACAGCTTAACGAGAACTCGAACTATATTGATGCATCTCCGATCTACGGATCATCGGTTAGTCTGTTTTGATGCATTTCCGATCTACGGATCATCGGTTAGTCTGTTCTAAGCCTAGATCTTTGAGAACTTAAAGACGAATCTGGATTTGAAATGTGTTTTTGTTTGTTTTCAATCCATTAAGATTTAGAATTCAAAGGCATTATGTAAGCTTTTGGATTTTGATTTTAGTGATTAGACATGTTCATTTTCTGTCCATTCGTCGATAGGTTTACAATGGAAATTCATGTCTTAAGTTCTTTAAAATCGACCTTTTCAAGCGTTTTTTACCATTGAATAGCATTTTATAATTTAATGGCGAAAAAAACGTTTGAAAAAGTCGATTTTAAGAGGGTTTAAGACATGAATTTCCGCTGTAAACCTATTGACGAATGGACAGAAAATGAACATATCGACGAATGGACATGCTGGTAGTTATTGATTTGTAAGTATCGAATTTCAAAACTTTCTTCTAGGTGTTTGATTCGAAGAAATTCCGCGATGGTCGAAGCGGTCGACTTCTGTTGCCAATGTTCAACGGAATGCAGAGTCAGTGAAAGTTTGAGAGAATCAAAAAAAGATAATCGAAAATAACAATCAATTAATCATAACTAACTACTGACAATGAGATATTCAAAGAACTAGACTATTTTCTATCAAAAATAAGCCTTAAAACTGTGACTGGTGTTTTCAAGTCCAAGAAACACTAGTCATGGTAATTCCAACTCTGATATTTGCCATTCAGCAGCAAGATAAGCTATTCTAGGTATGCAAGTAACCATTGTGTTCATAAGAAATTTTGCAGTGCTCCCATTCGATACTGGCTCATGCCGTGGCTCTCGTTCCTCATGCAAGGTGATCTTCCGTGCCGGGGATTCCCGTGTAAATCTTTTTGTCGGTCTCTCTTCTTGGCATACTGTATTCACCAGAGAACACAACAGGTTGGCATTTAAATTTTAAACCATAGCTTAAAGCACAGTAAGAGCTTAAAGCTTAAAGTACACAGTAAGCTTAAAGCACAGCAAGAGAACAGTAACGTTTAATCAAACAGTAAGGTTTAATCGAACTGATCAAGATCAAGAATTGACCTTGAGTAATAAAGAAATGAAGGAATTTGCAAAAAGTAGCTTCCCGGAGATGGGATTGAACCATCGATCACTGAGGACTTGAACGCTTTTCGGGCAATTGCCACTGAGCTATCCGCTCATTTTCTAACCACTGAGCTATCCGGTCATTAACTTTTGAAGAGCAAGAAGGAAAGAGAAAGAGGAAGAAGAAAGAAAGATAAAGAGGAAGAAGAAAGAAAGATAAAGAAAGATCATTTCAGAATAGCCGCTCAATTAGAACGCTTCAATCCACACTGGAATGGTGATCGAGTGTTTATGGAAGCTAGAAAAATCGTCGGAGCCGAAGTGCAAGCAATCGTCTATCGGTACAAAAACCCTCATGATCTTGAAAAACTCTTACAATTCAGTGAATATCTCCCAAAAATCCTTGGCTCAGCCTTTGCCACAACTGTTGGTGAATACTTTGGATACGATCGAAATGTCGACTCGACGATCGCAAACGAATTCACCTCAGGAGCTTTCCGATTCGGTCATGGAATGATTCAGGTGAGATTTTTCAGTTTTAAAATCATTATTGCAAAAATTCAGGAAATGTATCAACGCTTGGATGCAAATTTCCGCAATATGAGCATCGGACCGTTAGTTTTAGAGCACGGAACACTGAAGTCGGATACTCTGATCTTTGAGGTACTTGCCGTTGTTAAATAATGTTAAATAATAAAGTTGTTTTAAAGTTTTTAGATAATAAACTAAAAATTTTTAGGGAGGACCTGAGGCGATGATTCGCGGAATGTTGGTGCAGCCAGTGAAACGCCCGCAACGTGTCACCCCAGCGGTCACCGAGAAAATGTTCGGCTCCACTGATTTGGCCACTATCAATATTCAGGTTTCAATTTGAATTCGAAGTCTTTTAGTCTTATTTTCCATAGAAATATTGAAAATTTTTTTAGCGAGGCCGCGATCACGGACATCAACCTTACACCAAGTACCGTGAACTCTGCGGAATGGGTGCGGCGGCGAATTTCGACCAATTGGGCAGGGAGATTCTCTCGACGAGTATGAGACAACGATTGCAACATCTTTATGGAAGTGTTGGTGAGTGAAAGGGTTGTTAGGCTTAGGCTTAGGCTTTATAATGGATTTGTTAAAGAGAACCAGTCCATTCGATACAGTTATTGATTCCGACTTAGGTCTGTAACTTGTAAACAAAATCTGCTGAATAGAAATAGCTCGAGATTTCTGGCATCAAAGTTTTACTTTTATTTGTGAAAATCAAAATATCTTTCTGAAAAATAAAAAGCAAAAGTTTGCCAAATGGGGGATTCGAACTCATCACAAGAGACGAGTTACCGGTTCCGCAAATCAGCGCACTACCCCTACACCACGACCGCCGCGGAAAAGTCGGCGTAAACTCAGCCCAAGAGCTGAGTTGGCAGCGTAAACTCAGAGTGTATAGAAAAAAATTTGATGCCAGAAATCTTGCGTTTACGAGCTATTCAACGAATTTTGATTACAGATTCGGATTTGCCATTCAATTTTCTATCGGATAGGCTAGATCTCGTTTCGAAATCCCACGAAAACCTAGAACTCTAGTTAGAAATTCTCTAGTTAGAAATTCTATACAAGTAGGACAAAAACTAGTTGTTAAATTCCACCCTGAACCTGAACAACTCGAAATTAAAGTACTGTCACTCAATTCGGATCTCATTTCTCTCTAGATCGAATCGATTTGTGGGTGGGAGCGTTGGTTGAAGATCCGGTTGTGAGAGGCCTCGTTGGACCAACAATCGCTTGCATCATCGGGCCACAATTCAAGAGAACAAGAGATGGAGATCGGTGAGTGAGAGATGGAGATCATTTTCATCAATCAATGAATAGACTCTACTACGAGAACCCGGGAGTGTTCACGCGAGCTCAACTGAATGAGATCCGAAGGAGTTCTTTGTCGAGAATACTCTGCGATAATGCGAGGGGACTTTCTGTGAGTTTAGCTAGCAACAGCTAGCAACAGTTTAGCTAGCAACTTTAGTTGAGTCTCGAAATATTCAAGCCACAAAAGTAAAGATACAAAAATGGGATTTTAATCTGGATATAAGCATTTTTTTTTAATCCCAGAATCAGTCTCGAAATTGGCTAGCTGCACCTTTACAATCATCGACTTGATTTAAAAGAAAAAGAAAATTCGGGAAATACTATCACTAGTTACATCGCTTCTCTATTTATTAGATAAGTCCTGTCCGTTTTTCAATTCCTTTTTCTCGAAAATCTCCTCTGTTTTTTGATCGATTGCTTTGAAAACTTGGCTACAAGTAGTAGCCAAATTTTCTATTAGTAGCCAAATCTATTAGTAGCCAAAGCCAAAGCTAAATCTATTAGTAGCCAAATTTTCAGAACGATTGCTTAAAAAACAGACGAGATTTTTTTGAGAAAACGAATTGAAAAAACGGACAGGATTTTTTGATCAACCTAATAAATGTAAATAGCTCCGATTAGACGCTCCAAAAGTCAGAAAAGTCAATAAGCTATCAGGTCAGGTCAATAAGCTATATCTAGACTGATTCAGGTGGTTTTCATGTCATAACCAACGCTATATGGTTGAGCCAGGCCAGGCTAGAGTCCGATTCTATCTTTTTGATGATCCGAGTAGTTTTTGGGTCAACCTAACTAGGGAACGTGCCAACCTTTTAAAACGAGATCAACTCCATCTTATAGAATCGGCTGATTCCCAGTCCGTTTTCAGTATTTGAGGCCTGTAACGCGAGATATCTGGGCTACAAGTTTTAGGCCTCTTTACTTGAGTTTATTTTTCGCAAGGGAACCAACTAGTGACGTGGTGTGTTGACGAAGTTGTCGACTAAGGGCCCAAAGCGACCTGGTTAAGCGCCCTGGTTCGATCCCCTGCTCGGTCAATTTCTGTTTTCTTTAATCTGAGACTTTTTTAGGTTTACATGTTATAACAGGCTTTCAAGACTCGATAAAAATCATTATTTTCATGATTTTATAAGCTGTAGTTTACCTTAGTTCTTTAGTTTACTTTTTTACCTTACTGTTTCAATGTGATTTGGGCTAGAAGGCTAGTTGATCTCGTTTTAAAAAATCATCGGCACCTGGCGACGTTCTCTAGTCAGAAAGATGGACAAAAAAAGCCAAGCGATATCTAGCCAAGGCCCGCCTTGAGTTTGATTTTGGCTTAGCCTGGAAAACTGACTCTGTCAACTATGACACCATTTTTGACAGTGATTTGATACTGACACTGACAAAGTTTTTCTATTTATATCAAAAATTGTCTTTTATTGATTTCCCAATTTTTAGATGGTTCCCCGTGAAGCTTTCCGTCTCGGTCCATTCGTTTCTTGCGGTCAAATCCCATCAATGGACCTATCGAAATGGAGAGAGTAAAGGAAGAAAACAAACAAACAAAAACAAACATTTTCTCTGCTCTTATTTTATTTTTATTAGCCAATTTCCTCTCCATGACGAGCCTCATTCTAAGCCTAATTCTGGAAGATAGTTCTCCGAACAAACAAATTTAGATCTATAACCCAAGTATCTCTAAAAGTTTAAATCCCGAATTTTCGAATTCGCAAAGCGGGCATTTTCCCCTCACTTACAGTAGCCATTCTCTTTTCGATTTCTTGATTTTGTTAGATAATTCTTGTGATTAAAATTTCTCCATTTAGCTCATTTACGCAAAAAAGTTTGTTATTTTTGAAAATTTCTTGAGGAAATTGTTTGTATAATCGGTGAATGGACGACAAATTTCATTTCCTTTTCTCTGCTCGCTTCTCCTTTTTTTTTGTTCTCTCAAATGTTTCGATTATGAAAGGATGGACGAAAAAGAATATAATAAAGCAATATTATAAAAGGAATTGCATTCTGAAAAATGTTAAACTCAAACTCAAACTTTGATAAATTACAGTGTAATAAGTTTTCGGGTTTCTCTAAAAGTTTAAATCAATTAAAGCCGAGTTCAATTTGGTAGAATCAATAAAATGAATAGCTCCAATCAATTCCCCGACCCTGAAAACCTCCGGGCACAAATTTACAGCTGAATATCTTCTTTTTGTGCCATTTACAAAGCAAAAGAAAAATCCCAATGACGAGGCGTTCTATGTGCGATGGGTTATCGTAGTAAATCCATTTTTCATCGGCCGTCACAATAGTGTCCCAAAAACCTCAATTTTTTGATTGACGAAGAAGAATCGCTCGCGAGCTAGCACACGCTCCTGATAGATAGACGTTGCCTTGCGTCTCTGTAAAGCAAAAACAAACGTTCAGCGACTGAGCTGTTTTCCCCACTTTCAGCGTCACTATGCCCGAATTTTTGGGATCAATTTCCACCCTAAATCTGTCTATAATTTTCGGCAAGACAAAGACCAATCTTTCACCAAATATTTCCAAAAACCTCGGACAGCAAGAGCTGAAGAAAGTTTTAAATGCTTTACGGTCGGTTATAGATCCCCACCCGCCCTTGTGGATCCCATCCAGATCTCTTGAGAAAAAGTATCAGATATGTTTAGGTTATAATTTCAGAACAAAAGTACTTTAGGTAAAACCTTTTTATCTACTTGTGTACACAAGTAGATAAAACAATATTATAGGTTTAATTTACAAGGGAATGATCCGAAGGTGATGTTCAGTAAATTAGAAGAAGTAGCACTCATTTGGGATGAGTGCTACTTCTTCGATAGATCCCATGATGAATATTGATGACCAAAAAAAAATAGCTGCCGAAAGCTACAACGATATATGGGGCCGACAATGAGCAAAATAGACGTTTTTTGACCCTCCTTCGTGGAGCTGTAACTTTTTACTGAATCAATATTTTTGAATACTCTTTTTTGCATATAATAGAACTTGAATGAAACTAAAAAAAGGAAAATTTGATTCGCAAAGTATTTATAAAATTTTAGATTTCAAAGCTGTCGATTAGCCCAAAATTAAATTTACTGAACATTTTTTATAGGAACATCTTAAATTCCTATAATTAATGAAAGTTTATTTTTTAGTTCCATTCAAGTTCTATTATATGCAAAAAAAAGATTATTCAAAAATATTGATTCAGTAAAAAGTTACAGCTCCATGAAGGAGGGACAAAAAACGTCTATTGTCGTCTATTGTGCTCATTGTCGGCCCCATTTATTGTTGTAGCTTTCGGCAGCTAATTCTTTTGGTCATCAATATTCATCATGGGATCTATCGAAGAAGTAGCACTCATCCCAAACGGTCACCTTAACTTTGGATCATTCCCTTGTTAGATCGTTATTAAGGTTCTAGAGACTAATGATGAATGTTAATGACGAACAAATTAGCTGCTGAAAGCAACTTTATAACGGTAGAGAACCGAATACCGTATTTACTCTATTAGTGGGGTCCTCTCTAATAGTGGGGTCCTCTCTAATAGTGGGGTCGTCTGGAGGGGGGTTGAAAAAATAGTGGGGTCCTCTCGAATTGGAAGAAGATATTGGTAACGAAAGTGATACATCAATTGTTGATCTCTTGGATTAGTTCTTTTACTGTTTGTTAATGTTTTGTTACGGTTAAAGCTAAATAAAATATGAAGCCAAACTTGTTTTGTCAAGAATTTCGGAGAAAAATTGATATCTTTTCAATTTAAAACTTTGGTTTTATGTTCTTTTAAATTTCTCTAATAGTGGGGTCCTCTGGAAGGGGATTGAAAAAATAGTGGGGGACCCCACTAATAGAGTAAATACGGTAGTACTGCTTTTAGAATTTTAGATTTGAGTTCAAGTGTATTTCCCAAATACCGTTTTTTTTTAAAAACAGCAATCACTTGATATTTTCTTTCGAAAAATGCTAACTGGAAAAGGAAATTTGTAAACTTTTTTGAGAAACTCTTAATGTAAAGATTTTTTTCTTCTTTTTTAAACAACAAGGCATCACAAAGTTGAGAAGAATGGGCAGTAACTGGGGGGAAATGAATGAAAGATCGTATCAAAGTTGAACAAAAGGAGGGAAAATTTGGTACACGTTTTTTTGGTTCAACAGGAAAGTAGATTTAGTTTCAAAAAATTTCAAATTTTTTCTATTAAATTCGAAATTAAAATTCTTCATATGAAAAGCAACAAAAGGGAGAAATTTTGCGAAAAAAAAAATCCCTTTTCAGCTCTCATTTCTTCGGTGAACCAACCGAATTCGAATCGCTTTTGGGTCTGAAAATTTTTGAAATTAAAAAGTACACAGAATTTCTATAGTTAATATATAATAGATAGATTAATTTAAATATCTAACTGTAGCGATATGGATCAAAGAATGACCCACTTTTGCACTAGCGAGCTTCTCCTTTGCGGCGTGCCTCGTTGCAAGGCGGCTGTCCTAGAAATCGACTTTTTTATCTTTCAGTGACTTTTCAAATGTTGATTTTGATTCTGAAAGCTTTTTTTTCTTTACTTTGTCTGCACTTGTCCGATTTTTTCAGCAAAATTCATCGAGGAAATCGTTTCGGTGAGCGCTGAAGTGTCGGGTGATAGGTGGACCATGACAAGGGTTTTACTCTCACCATCTAGAATTGAAGAGATTTAAAAGGGCTCATATTTCATATTATATTATATATTATTATAAAATATTGTAGATTAGACAAAAGTTAGCTTGAAGCAAAGTCTCACAATTGTCCGCTGTATTTAGAGTTTATTGTGTTCGAAAATCTACCGCTCTTAATTAGCGCTTGGCTATTAGAATTATTAGTTTTAAAGCATTTCTCAGCTACCGTTAGATTAAGATTTAGATCCATGGCTTGTTTTTATAGATGTTTATGTTTCATATTTGTAAATTAGTCGATATTGCAAAAGCACTACCTTTTCGGCTACGGTAGTGATTATCTGAGTTACTATAAAAGCTATTAAAAGCTATTAAAAGATAGAAAAGCTAAAGCTAAAAGCCAAAGCTAAAAGCTAAAGCTAAAAGCCAAAGCTAAAAGCCAAAGCTAAAAGCTAAAGCTAAAGCTAGAATCTATAAAAGCGATTATTATAAGCGAAAACTCACTCAAGCTATCCTCCAAAAATCGTGTCAATTGACAATTCCGGAATGGCACATGCTTGTTGTTTTGGCGTAACGCCAGAACGACGTTGCCAAGCTCGGACAGGGATTTGTTGATCGCTTTCGCCTCGTTCAGCAATTGACCCTAGATTTTAGACTTTCTTTTAATAAAAAAACATCAGAAATCCCAATTGCTAGACAAATTTCAAAATAAAAAAAGAAATTTGAGACGATTTACCGTTGCATTCGTTTGAGAGACACGCTCTGATCCGGCCAAATCCACCAAATTTAAACGACCTAAAAGTTTCTATTGTTTCTAATGCAAATTTTCCAACTCACCTACAGTAGCTCGATTGGTAATGCGATTTGTAGCAATTACCGTAACCCTTACTATCACATGACTCCTCGACGATTCCTTATTCGCATCAGTGGCTGCAATGGCCTGGAAAAGTTTGTATGTTTATGACTGTTCATGTATTTTAGGCGAGTTAAAAGCCGGGGAAAACTTTTGGTACTTTATTCTTTTTCCCTCGATTCAGCGTTTCAGTGACAGCATTGAGACTGTCGACATTTTGTTCGGTCAGTCCGGGAATCGATGTGCGACCATCTTCACCCTGCCGAATGCATAAAGTTGAGGTTGACGGAGTGAGAAGATCTCTGCAAAATCGAATTTAGCCTACCACCTTGCTTTCCATGGTGTACTTTGTACTCAAAAATGCGAACGCATTGTTTCTAGCTCACTCGCTTCACTTTCGTCAATGTGGTTACTACAAAAAAAAACTCGAGGAATCGAATGCGCTAGAAAAAGCGGTGCGTTTACATTTTAGATCGAGATCTAATACAAATCTAGCTCAAATAGAAACAAACTTCAATTTCTCGTTATAGATCTCGATCATTGAGACATTTATCGTGTAATCAATGTCCCCATCTCGATCTGTAACCGTTTCGAAGAGTTGTTGAAGAGCACGTTGATTTATGCCAGGATCTGTTGAAGGTCCCTAAATCATAGCATAAGTTAAAGTCAGTATTCTTATCAAAAAAAAATCATTTTCTCTTTTCGAAATATCATATTTGAAAAACGATCGTCACTTTCGCGCGTCTGTAACTCCCTTGTCTTTGAGTTTAAACTATTAGTGTTATACATTTTCTGAAAGCTCTTTTCAAGGGCTGCACAATGGTAATATTAATATTTAGAAATACGGTAAAGACAAGGGAGTTACAGACGCGCGAAAGTGATGATCTTCTTTCAAATATGATATTTCATTGTCCAGTAGTGTAGCTTTACACTTTTCCAGGTACTTTTTGAAGACAACAATTATGCAAATTTGATATTCATATGTTTTTACGGCATTTATCCTGCTCCAAATGTACATTTTCCTAAATGAACAGTTACAAAGGCTACAAAAATGTGTCTTATAAATGTTGTAGCCGATTATGAATGAAATTTTTTGGCAAATCTTTCTAGTAGAGCAACCCTTTAATGTATGAGGACAATATTATATCATCTTGTAGCGAATTCAATTCTGCGTCGATTGGTACCAAAATTGTGAGTTTAGGTTAAAAATTGCCGGCGCTACAACGTTTCATTCAAAATCGGCGGGACCCCCGTAGCCGATTATGAATGAGTGGGTCTAGGAGCGTCCAACCATCAAGTACTTAGTATCATTCAACGCAGAATCATTAATAATTATGTTAAATTTTTAAAATTAGAAAGGTTGAATAAAAAGAAAAAAAATTAGAGCAAAAAAACTGTTTGTTCAAGAGAAAACTTTGAAGGCCCATAATTTTTTTTCTTTTTATCCAATCTTTCTAATTTAAAAAATTGAACATAATTATTAATGATTCTGCGTTGAATGATACTAAATACTTGATGGTTGGACGCTCCTAGACCAACTCATTCATAATCGGCTACGACATATATTTTTTTAGAGTCTGCTGGAGTAGAAATTCAAGAGAAATTGTAAAAAAAGCCATCACCAAGTTCTGAACTCTAGATTTTAGATGCAAATTTTGTGCAAAACACATGAAAATGCAGCCATTTGTCCTTCCCTTAATCGAAAAGCACCCTTTTTCACTAGCATAGACCAAATTAAACCTACAATTAGCACGCTATTGTGTAAGAAAGAAATTTTCACGAGTTTTCCTTTTTTCTCACCTCCATTGTATAAGTTTTCCCACTTCCCGTGTGTCCGTATGCAAAAATGCACACATTGTACCCATCGATGCAACTGGTGATGATCGGGGAAATCTCGTCGAAGATCTAAAGTAATCGATTCACTTGATAAACTTTGATAAGTTTATTGTTTTTATTGGATTGGTGAATTGAAAACTGCGGGCTATTGTCATATGTGACAGTTTGAGCACTTTCTTCAAAAGAAATCCATTTTGGTTGTAATGGAAAAGTTGTAGAGAATCAAAAATCAAGCTTATAGCCAAATTTTCAGAACGATTCAAAAACTGGTTTTCAAGAAATGCGAAATTTACGAATTATCACAAAACTTGCATTTTAAGCGAAACTACTAAGTGTATCTTTTTGGAAATTTGGCTATAAGCCTCATTTTTGATTCTCTACAACTTTTCCATTGACACCAAAATGAACTTCTTTTGAAGAACTTGAAGAAAGTGCTCAAACTGGGACACCTCCAGTCCTTGATTTTTGAGTCTCACACTTGTCTGACACACAAACCAAAATCCTACTACGAAAGAGGAATCCGCAAATTGCCTGTAAAATGGGCAGGAGTCGTCAATAATAATCGAAATTATTTGGAATGAATTGATGGTTTTATGTTGAATGAATTTTAGTTCAAAGTCCCGCAGTTTTCAATTCACCAACCCAATAATTCTATAGAATGAGCTAGAGATCATATTAATGAACATTTAAGTTTCAAGAATTTCAAATGAAAACCTGTTGTTGGGTGAAATGTGTGGGAATGATTCGATCCACCGAATGGCTGCTCTTCTTGCCGATGTTTGTCGTCAAATGGACTATCTAGTTCGATATGGTATATAGAATAATAAAATTCTGCTTTCCTCATCCTTTTTTCTCTTTTCATTAGCAAAAAAAAGACTTTGAATCCTTGCTTTTTCCCTGGGTTTACTGTTTAAAACGTGGCCAACCATTTTAGGTTTAGTTTTAGATTTATCAAACGTTTAGCTACAGTAATTAGACTATTATATAGTTAGATGTAGGCTTTAAGACTGAATAAAGCTTTAATTTCTTATTTCTTACCCCATGATCCATTGAATCAATGGAAAGCGCTGGCGTCTCTTTGCAGTCGCCGAGTTGCGGGCGAATACGGTAAAAGACGCGGATGTTGCCTAAATATTTTCTTAACTTATGATTTATATACCCGCATTTTATCTTTTACCTACCGTAAATACTGAAATAGTACCCCACCCCCATAATGACGGTGCGGAGTGTTGCGTAGTCTAGCTTTGAACGAGTGCTTCTCGATACTGGTTTATGCTACAATGCGCGCTTTGGTATCAAAAAATAGCCCTGAATTTCAGCTATTTTTTCATACCAAAGACGCATTTTTTGAAAGTACGAGCGCGCTTTGAAAAAAATGAAATACTAAAAAACTATCGCGGCCTAAACTAAACTATTAATCGCGGCCGGGTGACCATAAAAATTTTTTTACGCCAACCACCTGTTTTTTTATTTTAATATCGCTGATTTAATTATAAAAAGAATAAAAATCACCCGGCTAGAGTGATTTGATGGGTTTACAAATTTTTGGAGACGCTGCAAGGCTCGCGTAGTTCATCTACAAGGTAAGTGCGAAAGTAAAGCAAAAGTCAGGCATTATGTTTTCTTTTTGTTTTCTTTAGCCTTTCGATCTACATTTTTGGTTTTTAACATCTCTAGATGCCTTTTTCAAGATGGAGATTTTATTTTTAGATAATGCAAAAGATCATTAAGCTAATCTAGCTTATGGTTTTCTAAATACTCTTGTTTTTTCGAAAGCCAAGAAAACTTATGTTAGGAAACAAAAGAAAACCACAATCGAATGGAAAAAAAAGATCTAATTGCGTCAATCAAAGCGCTGAAGATGGGGGAGATCCAGTCATTTCTGTTGAGGATGCGCTGGAAATTGACTAAGATAGGAAGCCAATCTGAGAAACTGCTGTACTTGAGCGAAGATGAAAGTGAGCAAGAGGAAGAATTATAGATTAACAACTTATTTGTATTGTTTTTTGTGCTTTTTATTTTGTTTTTAAATTTATCTGCAATTAAAACTCGATCGATCTAGACTGTGCTGAGGTGTCTGAGTGACGATCTTGTTTTTTTCCAAGCCTTGCAACGTCTCCAAAAAGTTGTAAACCCATCAAATCACTCTAGCTTTTATTCTTTTATTCTTTTTATAATTAAATCAGCGATATTAAAATAAAAAAACAGGTGGTTGGCGTAAAAAAAATTTTATGGTCACCCGGCCGCGATTAATACCCCCCTTTAAGTATAGACTTGTAACCAAAAAAAATCTGTCGGTCCGTTGCAATTAAAGGTTTTTCTCAGTACCAACCCTTCGTTTTTGACTATTTTGATGATCATTCGATGTAGAATAAAATCACGCATCGAATGATACCAAAATTAACTCAAAATATAATATTTATGCAAAGTTGTTGGCTAAAAACCTAAACCCCCCGAATTATAGGCGGGGGTAAACCTTTTACCTCATAACTTTGCATGGGTTTTATATTCTAAGTTACTTTTGGTATCATTCGACGCGTCATTTTGTTCTGCATCGAAGGACAGTTAAAACAGTCAAAAAACGAAAGGTTAGTGTTGATAAAAAACACGAAAAACCTTAAATTGTCAACGGTAAAAAGGAGTGACAGATGTTATCATTAAAAGTCGACTTAAGTACCAATTTTCTAATCAAAATAATGACCAAAACACTGATGGAACTTAAAGAATTGCAAAATTTCTAGATATTTATCAAACCGTTCAATTCGACGAGTTGATTATGCAACTGCCGCCGCTTTTCCATCTCAGCCTTGTAACGAGCGATCAACACTTGGAAAAAGTCCATCGTTTTCGACTCGAGCATTAGTTTTACCTCAAAAAAACTTTTAGAAAACAAATTCTTGATCTCATCTCTGTGCTTTTCGAATTCACAGAATCTTGATATTTTCTTGCTCACCTCAGCCATACAAACCGAGAACGCCTCTTTTGTGTCAAAAGCGAGCCGTTTGAGTTCATCCTAAAATTTTCACCATTTTTCTATGGAAATTTGAGTTTTTACACATAAGAAAATCTAAATCTTTATAAAAAGAATCCTTTTTTTTTACACCAACTTTCTCATTTTTCAGCTCTTCTGCCATCCGTTTCAGTTTTTTTAAATTGTGCCCATCGACGAGCTGTTTCGCTTTTTCTTCGTACGATTTTTGAGGAGTTGGACTGAATTTTTTTTTCTTTTTTGCTTTATTTGATTGTATTTAAACATTAAAAGATTATTATATGCAAAGTTAGCTTAGTATGCAAATTTTATACGGCTTTTGACTTGAGTTGTGCTTGGGAATTGGAAAAAAAGGCATAATAAGTGCCAAAGCTGACACTCTGCTTTGCCAAAGCTGAAAAAGCTGACTTTTAAGTGACAATTTGAAATGAAATCTTCTTCCAATAACAAACAATCTTTCTAGCTTTAAAGCTATTCCGTGAACAACGAGAAATTGAAACTGGGATGGCTGCATTGCTGAATTTGTCTTTCCTCGGCACCTGACTCTAAATCGATCCTCACTCGTGAGATCACTCTCGTAGTCCTCGTCCGTTTCCACCAAAGTTCCCATTCTGAAATTTTTATTTATTTTATTTTCTTTGGTTATTTTGAAAGTTTTGTCGCTTTTTTATTCTTTCTAAACTCACCGAATTTGTCTTTGTGCCACAGCGAGCGCCTGTTTGAGCTTCAGATTTTCATCCGATAATTGCCCGAAATCCCACGATAAAACTGAAACGGGGTGTGAAAAAAAATGCGAATCTAGATCTAGCGAATCGAATCTAACGAATCGAATTACTAGAACTATTCTATTTTTTTCGACTTTCGTTTAAAAATGATATCTGAAGCTTAGGTTTTGTTTTAAGCCTATATTACGGAGTAACGCATTTTCTAAAACATGTCAATTTTTTAAAAAAAACTATCATTATTTTGTTTCTTTTTATTCAATCTATCTAATTTTTGTCTGATTTTGACATCGAAACATACAAAAAGATTGAAAAAAAAACATACCGTAAATACTATAATAGTACCCAACCCCTCTCGTACAGTCGCGTAGTCGCAAAAGTTTCTTTAGTATTTCATTTTTTTCAAAGCGCCCGTACTTTCAAAAAATGTGTCTTTGGTATCAAAAATAGCTGAAATTCAGGGCTATTTTTTGATACCTAAGCGCGCATTGTAGCACATAAACCAGTGTCGAGAAAAACTCGTTCAAAGCTAGACTACGCAACACTCCGCACCGTCATTATGGGGCTGGGGTACTATTACAGTATTTACGGTAGTTAGCGTAATGGATAACGATTGGATCTACTGCACGCAAGATCAGGGTTCGGTCCTCGCAGCTTTCAGAGTTTTTCTTTTGAAGCAACTTCTAGCATTTTGCAACTAATTGCATTATTATGTAGAAAAACGATTCAAGAATATAGACTAATCTCTTTCAAATGCAAAGACTATAAAGTAATCGTTAGCAATGATCTTTGGTATCAAAAAATAGCCCTAAATTTCAGCTATTTTTTGTGATACCTAAGCGCGCATTGTAGCATAAACCAGTGTCGAGAAAAACTCGTTCAAAGCTAGACTACGCAACACTCCGCACCGTCATTATGGGGCTGGGGTACTATTACAGTATTTACGGTAGGTAATATTAGCTTTCAAAAGTTGACACGTTTTAGAAATAGCTTTAGAAAATGTATAGTGAAACTTGAGTATCCTGTCTGACTGGACTATGCCACTGATAGACAGAAATTTATAGAAAATAAAGCCAAGGATACGATTCTTTTTACAAATTGGCAACTTTTCTAACGACAAAAATGACATGCAAACACAAAAAAAGACACCTGAGATCCCCTTGAGAATCGTCGACTGGCCAACATAGGAATCACGACGTCCTGAAAGGGACCACTTTTCATTTAAAAATTAACTCTCGAAAACTTTGTGGTGTGGTCGTACTTTCAGTTCATCAGAAACAAAAAAAAATTGAAAAAAAGCACCATTTTACGATACGAACACAAGCTACATGCACAACCACACCACGACTTAAAAATTGAAATTTAGTCACTCAATACTACAATAGTTCATGCTTTAGACGATAATTTTACATTATATCAACTGTACTTTGCCGACAAAATTCTACATTTTTACTAGAGATTTTACAAATGGCACTTTTGAATGAATGGCATTTTGTTTACCTTGAATGAACTCTTCCATATTCGATATCCTTGTTTCTTGCTCGTCGATGATCTCCTCGAGGTTGCGAATCAAGCGATCTTTCGTCTGAATGTCGACGGGATTGACAAGCCGATGCTTTTATGGGTTTATGGGCTAGGAATACAAAACATGGTCGGCGCCGGGACTCGAATCCGCGACCTCTCGACGGATCTCTCGCTTAGCGGACTAACACTCTGCCAATGAGCTACACCGACACGTATCCCATCGCCGCCAAGATAGGGCTTTATGCTTTACTTGACAACTTCAAGAAGTAGAAGTTGCTTTTAAAAGTTTAGCCTAATTGGGAGTCCATAGACTAAGAGTATTCTAACAGTTACAAACTATGATACCTGCACTTCTAGACCAAATTAGACATGGGAAAATTTAGTCCGAACCTAATTCCACCTTCGTTTTCTTGGCCGATTGCTCTGAAAAGATAGAGATTGACATTTTCAGCTTGTAGGCAAAATTTCAGAGCAATCGGTCAAGAAACGGCCGAGAAAACGAAGATGGAATTTGGTTCGGTTGACCCATGTTAGGTTCGGTTGACCAAATACAAGATCAAGCTATATATTTTAAAATAACTTTGCATTCTAGCTTCATTCATAAGTTCTTGGAATCAATCATTTCTTGGAACTAGCACAAAATTTCAAATCGATCTTCTTGAAAGACTTGAAGTTCTAAACGACAGAGTACAGAGCCAGGCTGGAAAACCACAGAGCTATTCACAGTCTCCATTTCGTGAATGTACTTGCATTGTTGAAAGTAATCCGTCTCACTGTTATACTCCATCACTTGTGAACCTCTTGGAAAAAAAAGAGCCTAGCTTTATTCTACAAAGTTCTTCTTTTCGCTTATCTCCATTTTCTCACCTCTAAATGTGTCTCGAGAATTCTCATCTGCAATTTCATATTCACAGTCTCCATTTCGTGAATGTATTTGCATTGTTGAAAGTAGTCCGTCTCACTGTTATACTCCATCAAAACCTGAATTCAAATTCGATTCAAAAAAGCAAAAAGGAAAAGTTGCCAAAATTTAAAGACAAATGATGCATAACTGAGCCAAAAAAAAAGAATCTAGGTGAATCGTTTTTGTCATTTCCAAATTGAGGTGTTGATGGGGAAAGAAGGCACAGTTCAATGCTAAGATTGTTGAGAGGTGTTCAATGGGATGTTCATGACTTCAAGAGCACGAACACTCTTCAAAGAACCCAAAGAGCAAAGCGAGGATTTGCAAAAAAGTCAAGAGACGGTTCAATGGGTTTGAAAGGAAGGCGTGTTCAATTTTAAGAAAAATTGCGGGTATCCGTTTGAAATTGAGCTTTTTTTGAACATCCAAGAGTTTAACTCGAAAGTTAACAAAACAATGAACAGTTTAGTGAAGAAGTTTTTCAGCTTTTGTTCAAGTTACGAAGATTATGCAAAAGTTGCAAAAGGACAATGGTTTAAACGTTAAAGAATGAACTGACAGCTATGGAACAATTCGAATTTATATTTAGTTAGAAGATTTAGATATTAGATAAGATTTAGATCTAGAAATTAGAATTTTGAACACTTTAACTTTTACTGTCTATACTTTTAAGGTGTTTGGATAAAATTTCAGGTAAAATAGCTGACTCAGCTTACGAAGATTGATGGAAATGACGAAAGATTTCGTGAGTTTTACGTGAAAGTTCATTTACTTGGCGATTTGAACCGGTAACCTTATTTATAGAAATTTTAGTCGTAATTTTAATAAACATTCATTTTCCATTGTAGTATTTTAGCAATGTATGCGAGTGAACGTGAATAACGTCGATTGGAGTCAAATCGAAAGGAATTGCCAGATTATCTTGAAGAAGGACATACATCTAGTTTCCAAAACGTATCAAATAGCTTCAAAATAGCTGATTTTCTCGATAAAACTGAAATCAAAAAGCAAAAAGCAAAAAATTTCAATCTGTAACCAGATTCGAAATCTCAAGTAAGTAAAACCGCTAAAAAAACCCAAACTAGTTTCCCTTTCTTAGCGAAAAATAAAATGAGAATAAAGAAAACGAGCTGTTTATTCTCTCGGGTTCGCAAAGTCTAATTATTTGTGTTGCCCCGTTTTTTTTTTCTCATCCTAACCTTCTGATTTCCTTTGATTCCTCTCGCGTGTATACTTTTGGTCAATAGCGCCCGATGTTTGCCCATCTATTGTACCCATTTTTGCTGGTGAAGCAAAGAAAAAAAAAACGGCTGGAAAGCTTTGTACATGTTCAACTGTTGATGGAATACTTTGAAGCTAATTTTAGGTTTTGAAAATCTCTAGAATTTCGAAATTGTATGTTGGGCAGTACAAAAGTTGGGCTAAACAATTTCCTCGACGAAAAGTCTTCACTTATCATTGATTGAATACTTTGTAAACTCTATTTAGATATATATGTTGTGTCCGATTTAGATTCAATCTAAATCGGACGTCTTATATAGATTGAACAATAATATAATCATGTTTAATATATGTTCTTAAGCGTTTTCTGTAGTTTTCTGCATTTTTCAAAGGTCTTTTATTGATTACAGTCTATATCGGACGTCTGATACAGATCGAACAATAATAAACGTGCTTAATATATGTTCTTAAGCGTTTTTTTTGCAATTTTCTGCGCTTTTCAAAGAAATTTTAATTCGGACACAACATATACAAACATAAAATTATCCAAAAAAAAAATGGAGATATGAAAAATCGCCGCCACGATCGAGATACCAATCGGAGATACGATCAAAAACTAACGAGAAAGATTATGATATTACGTTTAGTTGTTTCTAATTGTAAAAATCAATTATTTACCTTTTCAAAAGCTATAAAAACCCTTTAGAACACTAGTGGAAAAAGTTTTTGGCGCCCGAACAGCGGCTTGTTAAAATTTCATGTCCACAAGAAAAGATTCGAGAGGAAACATTTCAATACTTTTGATCACAAAAGCCATAAGATAACTCTAAATGGATTACGGTAGAAAGTTCATAAAACAATTACTGAAACCCGATGTGTATCTGGGCTTACAGCATCCCTAGAATGCAACACAGCCAGTACAACTATTCGACTTGATTTAACTTGTAGACTTGTTAAAGTTAGTGTAAAAATAGTAACCTAGCAGGTGTGAAGTTTGCATAGAAAAACTTGAAAATTTGAACTGAATTGTTAACTTATCGACTTTAACAAAACTATGCGCATAGGATAACCGTTTGAAAAGTTGAGAAGAGAATGGGTAGCCCTGGGGGAGAAAACCGGTAGTACTAGAGGGGAGATTTCAGTGAGGATGGATAAAAGCGACCAATGAAGAAAAGAATAAAAGAATAAAAGAGAAAGGGAGTGGCCGATGTGCGCAATGACACCCAGAAAAGCGAAAATCCATCCAAACACCCAGAAAATGTGAAAATGGTGTGCTCGTTTTTAGAGTGGCCGTAAAAAAAATCTCCATGCAAAGCAAGAGATCGCATTTATGATGTAAAATTTTGAGGGTTTTATCAGCTTAATCAGACAATGGCTACTTCATCAAAGGCTCAAGTTTCTTGTTTTAAATTTTTTGGTTGGTGCAAATTTAATGGTAAGTTCAGTAAATGTTTACCTGCCTTTATTCATGTATTAAATCTTTTCTAGAGTTCTATTCATGTATCAAATCGAAAGAAAACAGTTTCTAGAATGATTGAAGACATTAAAGTTTTTAAAAAATACCTAAAAAAGGAAGAAAGGATTTGCAACAGATTTGTAAGTCATAAATGGCAAAATTTGAAACTCTAATTTGAATCTAAAACAAGTAAAAATCCTGAAAATGTAGAAAAATTTTTCGGAAAGCAAAATTCAAGAGATTGTCAAAAAACGTGAAAAGGCTACAGATTTCCCAAAATTTTGAAGTATTTACTAGTAAAGTTTCGTTTGAGAGAAGAGGATAGAGAATTGCATACATATTTGGGTTGTGAAGTGAGAAGGAAAAGGAATAGAAAAGGAGAAGAAGGAGAAGAAGAAGAAGAAGAAGAGGGATCAATAGAGGAACGGGAGGGAGGGAATGGTTGGGACGGCACCTAGCACAGAGAGAAAGAAAAAAAAGAAAAGAAGGGGCATCAAGGGAGATGAGGAGAAGAGAAGAGACTCGATACTCTGAACTCAGTAAAGAGGAAGAGAGTTGTGTAGCTGAAAATGTCAGTACACGAATTTTGACTGCACAATTTCATGGTCATCCATGAAAATTGTCAAAATCCACCTCTTTTCTAGAGGAAGAAGAAGAAGAGGGATCAATAGAGGAACGGGAGGGAGGGATTCATGAATTGAATCGAATTTCCTTTATAAACCATCAACAACATCTCAAAGCTAATGAAAGATTTACTTTACAAGAATAAAACCACCCGGGCAAGTTGGGGAATAAATGGCACTAGAACCTAAGCGATGCAAGGTCAACAATCTTTCACCTTTCTCGTCGCCCCTGTCGTGTAATTGGAAACTCTCAACTCGATGCCTACCTTTTGAGTGACACCGCATTTTTCCAGCAAGAGAAGCAACTCAACAGAAAAAGAAAGCGAACCTAGATATAAATGATTGAAACCAAGATTTAATTTCACGAGTTTTGGACTCGAATGTTGACTAAAGTACTGAAGAAAAGAATGTTAGTACTGACGGGGTAAAGCTTTGTGCACAGGGCGTGATGGTTGACAACAGAAGGGCCTTAATCGCTCGTCCGGTGGGGATTCTCGTCATCCGAGAAAGAACGCCTATCTCAAAAGACCCCAAAAACCAGTGTTGAGGAAAAAGTTCAGTACACCAACCACAAGAAGCTCTCGAACCCCAAGAAGATTGTCAATGTCAAAATCCCAGTTTTGTTTAGTTTCTCTATCAAAAATAGAAGAAATGACATTTTGGAATCACTGAAAATTCTTTATTAACACCTGAAAATTGAAAAAAACTAAAAATCTTGAAAAAAAATTGATAAAAATACATAGAAAAACCAAAAACAAACTAAATAACTTTGCAACAATTAAAATCAATATTTATCGAAAGAGGTTTTTTCCGCCTTCGCCGGATTCCTAAAAACAAGCTTTCCTTCGAATTCTTACGAATTCGACTAAGAAAATTCTTACTTCAAATTTGTACATGAACCACTTGGTTCGTTCGTTCGATGTTCGAGATTTTCTAAGTGGAGACACCATGATTGCACCATGTGGAGACAAAGCAAATCCGGCGATAAATGGATTTGGCTCTTTATGTTTCACCGGAATGATCGAAACGGGGCAAAGCTCGTGATTGAAGATCTAAAAAGTAAATCGTTATATTTTTTTGTTTTAAAAAAATTATTAGGTAGTTAATTATTTCATTTTAAGAAATATTCTGCCACTAAAAATGCTATATAAAACGTACATGGAGGACCCCTCCTCGAGCATCCATGACTAAAAGCCAACCATTCGCATCTACCTGAAGAAGAAGTCTACATTAAAACGTTTCTACAACCGGCAAATTACCTTAATTCCAGAAACATACGAAATGCATCCTGGGACATTTTGTTTGAAAACACCTCCGTTGCAGTATTCGCCTTTCTTTTGCATTGTCATCGTCTCGTTATTCACTTGGTACGTTCGAATTAAGCATTGGTTGACGGGCTCACGTATTACTAAAAATGTATTTAAATTAGAGAAAGAAAGCAAACCTTGAGCGGCAAGATCCGTCATTGCGAGGATTCCACTTTCGTTGTTAAAATCGATAAATGAGACATTCCCAAAGTCGACCGTTTGGTAGTTCAATCTGTAGCGAGCTGTTTCGTAATTGTAAAAACAAACCACCTAAAATCAAAGCATAATTTAGAACTGTTGAGAATAAAGTACGCTGTTATGCGAATCAGCCGCTGCTTTGAAGCAGAAGATTTGATGGCCACGCTTTGCGTAAGTAAAGACGACTTCTGGTTTGCTGCCTGCGGCTATGCCTAAAGGAAAATATTGTAAAGTGGATGTTAGAAATTATTTTAAAAAGATAAAGTTTCACCTCGAAACGGATCCATCTCATCCGAGCCCCAACGAACGATTTCCTTGTGGGTCCAGACCCCGTCTTCATTTGTGCAGCGAAAGATTTGGTTTTGGCTCAGCACGACCAAGCATCCGGCTTTGAGCATCGCAACGGCAGTCGGCTTGAATCCTATAGGCGCTGTGCTCTTGTTCATGACCGTTCCTTTCTCTCGTTTTTCGGCTTTTTGTATATCGAGCAGAGGGATCTAAAGTAATGAGTCAGCTACAAACCAGTAATTAGCCATAAAGCATAGTTATTGTAAACAGCTGAAAGCTTACCGAATTATTGTCCTGTATCCAAATGCGTGATTTTGAATGGAGCGCGACGGCATATGAACTGAAACCATCATAGGCAGCTGAATAAGTAGTAACTTCGTTTCCGGCAAACGAATATGTATGAAAGCCCTCCAAGCTCGTCCTTGCTAAAATAAAAATGAAATTACCGAGTTTGGATAACAATCTACCTCTAAGATAATTGCCTCGGTCGTGATTCAGTCCAAACATTTTACGAAAATCGAGTGATTCGCGATCTAAAAAGAACAAATAATCACTGAAACCCAAAATGATACAAGTAGGCCACAAAATACCTTACCCATATTCGCTGTGACCGTTTGCTGAAAATCATCGCCCGAGCTAGATATAGTAATAGTAGAAGTATCGTCATCCATGTTTCCTCTGTCTCTTTCTGAATCCATAATTATAGTTTGATACTTGAATCATTAAAAGCTCCAACTTTCTGTCTTAAGCTGGTTAACTGGAGTGCTTGGTCGAAGAGCTTCGTTGATCATCAATTCTTTAACGTCGTCCTCTTGCATGTCGACATCGCTGGCGATGCTGATGTTGTAGTCCTCATCGTAGTCGAGCAAAATCTCGTCCTCGTCGATTTGAATTCGCGCCGCCGCAAGCGACGCGGCGAGCCTAAAAATAAAAGTTAATATTTTGCAGATAATGGTGAAAGTGCACTAATAGCTAGTATCCTGTAAAGATTACAGTGGCAATTTACACATCCAACTACTTAACTGAGCATTAAAGCATAAGTTTTGCTTCAATTCTTACAGCTTTTGGTACTATGGGCTTTAGGGGGGGGGCTCTTTTTTCACCAAAACCATTTTTTCTGGGGTAATTGATGACGCTGCTCAGGAAAAGGTTATTTTTAAGGCAAGTTAGTAATGGAAAAATGTCCATTTTTAAAACTCAAGGTGGTATATTAGTTGGGGGGAGGGATGGGCAAATTTTTTTTCGCCAAATGAGCTGATTTTTTTGCACCCAGGGGTTTTTGACTATGATGAATCGATTGGTGGTGGTTTCACACAACATTTCGTAACTTTTAACAACATTCAAGGCTTTAACTGGACTTTGGCTCCGCACCTTAGTGGCACGTGGCTACTAGGCTATCGCCTGATTCTCCTACGGCTGAGGTGAGTTCAGACGATCGCCTAGGAGCTACGTGCCTCTAAGGTGCGAGGCCAAAACCTAGGTAAATAGGCGCCTATAATAGTATAGTCAAACCCCTATAGCACCTGGAGTTTTAAAAACGGACATTTTTCCATTACTAGCTTGCCTTAAAAATAACTTTTTCGTGATTAGCGTCATCCCCAGAAACTACCCCAGGAAAAATGGTTTTGGTGAAAAACATGCCCCCCAAAGCCCAGCTTTTAAATAAGTTTTACAAGAAAACATTTTTTTACTTTGTTGCGGGAGTGGCAGGGGCTGAATCGGCCGTTCCCTCGTTGTCGCTGTCGTTGTCGTTGTCGGGCATCTCTAAAACAAAATCTGCATCAAAGAATTAAGAAAAAGAAGCTGAGTGGCAAAATACATAACGTAAAGAGAAAAAAATTCAATGCAAAGAGGGTCCTATTCATTAGAAAAGCCCTGCTGTTGAGCGGGGCAAGATATTGCGCGCGATGAACAAGCACAACGATCGAATGGTTATTGTGGGGTAACTAATGCAGAGAAATGTGTGCAAATGTGTGGAAATTCTTAGTAGAAAAAAAACTTTCTTCTTAGTAGACCAATCTTTATGATTTTGGTGTCATTTTGTTGCACTTATTGAGATCTACAAAATGACACCAAAATCATAAAGATTAGCCTACTTAGAAGAAAGTTATAGTTGTGCAAAAGACCCCGTTGAGCAAATAAAATCGCGGAAATTAGCCTACCCCAAAAATCACAAATATGCTAATTTCTTTGAATACGGTAACCATTGCCTTTTAGAAAGTACGAAAGTGCATTAATCATTTCAAATCAGATGAACTTGATTTTTTTACTTAACTTAATCCCTAGTTAAAGCTAGATCTCAATAAATCCTCATAAAAACTTTAAAAAAAATAACCATTCAATGGAATGTGCACAAAACTTTCATATTTGTTCACCTTGTTCGACTTTAACCAGGTGTTTCGGCGTATGTGTGAAAAATTATTGGATCGGTTTTTCATAACAATTCTCATCTAACGGATAAAATTTGTATTTATTCAATAATCATATCTGAAAAAAGCTTTCGAGTGACTTGCTGAACGAACAAGTGACTTGCTGAACGAACAAGTGACTTTCAAGTGACTTGAATTGGCTGGATAAGAGCACGGTAACCCCTGCACCGGGCTACGTTAGCTTTTTCAGACGTATCTTTTAGAAAGCCTTGCTCTATTCATATGGGTATGATAACCTTTTCCTAGCCTTTTCCATCTTTTAGAAAACCTTTTTCATATGGTGCTATAGCGTTTTCCAAACGCATCATTAAGAAAACACTTCATTTGAGAGAAGCACGAGATTTCATTCAAACTACCGGAAGCGATTCGTTCGGAACTTCCGCTTTCCCCAGACACACAATGTGTTTACCTCAATTGTATGTTAATTTATTCACCGAAAACACGCCTTTTGTTTCCCCATATCCTTCGGAACCCTTACTTGATTAAAAAAAACCGCTCCAAAATCTCCCCTTCTCTCATTCTTTTCTTCCAAAATGGCGATGTTCGGTTCTCTTCTTTTTCCTTTTCTCTTCGTAACCCAATTCTAACCGCCCATTCTTCCATCATTAGGACAGATTTTTAAATAGCAACGAAAGCTGATCAACTGACAGCTTTTTCTTGAAATTGTTTAGATTTCAAGGTTTAAAGTGGTGTACTTTGTACTCAAAAATGCAAAAACACGCCCTTTCTGGTGCACTAGATTCTTATCGTTCTGGAGGGATCTGGGAATTTTCGGTGTAAACGCCAATAGGCGTGCAACGCAAAAATGGCATATCTCGGCCAATTTCACTCCAATCTTTTTGATTTTGATATCAATTGACGCAGAATTTCATTTTCTATCGATTCAAATCAAAGACAAAAAGATTCGAGTGAAATTGGTCAAGATATGGCGTTTTGGGTAATTGAATGCGATGAACTTGAATATGAAGTTAGTTTTGACCAGTACAATATTAGCAGAACCTTTGGACTCTTGTAGCTTGCCATATTTTTCGGTTCAATCTCGAAAAACAACTTCAGAAAATTTGCAAAGCAAATGCACGTTTCCCGTCATTTTTTTTCTTATCAAGTTGCCTCTTAATATTTCTTTAGAAATTCTTAGAGAATTGGGAAGAAAAGGGAAAGTGAGAAACGAAATGCAATAAACCAACTCCCATGTGGGTGTCGCCTCTTTTTTAAGAGGAACAGACCCCATTTGAAAACGTTTTTTTCAGCCGGACACTGCTTTTTATGCACTCCTAATTAGTGTAACTCTTCGTAACGAAGAGTTACACTGCACAGCTTTTTGTATATTGTAAATTTGATTATCTTGTAATGGTTTCACGGTTTCTCAAGATCATTGTTGTTGCCTTGAGATCTCTTAAAGATCTCTTGAATCTTTGATACCTTTGTCAATTAGTGTCTCTCTAATTTCATGATCTCTTTCTCATTTTCAACTACACAGCTACCTATTGATTTTCCAGTTTTCAACATGAATTCAAAATGATTTATCTTGCTGACTGGTAGACTGAACACTAATAGATTACTAAAGATAGCTTGTTGAAGGAAAACTAGTTTACAAGGTAATTGAACTGATTTCCCGACTATAATCGAATTACAGAGCTTTTTAAATGCAAATTTTGAGGCGATATAACTAGAAAGTAATATTGCTAGCCATTACGGATTATGGTAGCTATCGAGAAGGACTACAGTGGCCAAACTTTCAAATCTAATTCGCTGATTTGCTACCTTATGGACCTGTGCTTAAAAGCCAAATTTTCTGGCTCTAAAATGGTTCTCTTTTCAAATATCAATTGGTAACTCTTGTAAATCTCAACTTTTCTCTTTTTCTCAAGATTTTCTGTGTTCTCAATTGTTCATTCTGAAGTAAGGGAATGAACATTCTGTCAAGTTAAGGAAACTCAGGCTTATTCCGAAAAATCCTTAAAAATTCTTTTTGAAAGAAAAGAGCGGGAAATGGAGAGCTTTTCTCTATGTGTTTCCGTGAAAGGGAGCCTTCTTTCATTTTTTTTCTTCTTGAAGTCGGAGTTGTTTAGTGATGAGGTAAAGATTCTAAGAATTCTGTTTTTTTTGTGGGATTTTTCAGACTTTAAACTCCACAGACACTGTTAGAAGCTGGAACATGGAGTGTTCTTTCAGTTCTCTTGTAGTACTGATAGTGAGTACTGTCACACTGTACAACAGTACATAACTTCTTAAATAGTCATACTTTTTCCACTTATCTTTTTGTATACAGTACGTCAAGTGGAAACCTTCTTATCCAATAGCCAGCCATATTTTTCGTATACTGAATCACTGTGGTTCAATGTATCAACAGATTCAGATCATTATAGTCAGGCTTCTAAAGGCAATTTTTTTTCCAGGCTATGCTAGTCAAAGCCAGCTCGTGACCTGGCTTTATTTAAGGTTGACCTAGGCCTGCAGGCTTCTCCCCATCTTCTAACCCAGCTTCTAACCTGGCCTGATTTGTCTTACAGGTTTCACGATCCGGTTTTCTGCAACTGTGTTTGCTTTACTGGCTTATTATAGCTACAGTTCTGTGTCACCAAGAAGCTATTCAGTTTAAGCTAAACTGGATAAGCTACCGTAGTCTGACCTGGTTTTTTTGCTATATAAGCTGCTTTTTTTGGTCCCTCTTCTTTTTCAGATTTTTGTGAGAAAGTTTTCTCTAGATTTTTTCTATAAATCTGCTTGTTTTGTCAGTTAGATCGTGTGATAAAATTGTATTGGTTCAAAAGTTTGGTTCTGTTCTGAAAGCTTAGAAATTACACTTCAAGCGACAAGTTTAGCTAAAGTAATCCAAGTAAAGTTTTCGATTTCGAAATTGTCCAATTTCTAACAAATCTTTCTCCACTTTTATTCTAAAGCATACCTTAATTTTCCCACTCCAATCAATTATTTCAAATCCATTCCAACTTTCTCTCTTTTTGTTATGCTGCGATTGTTGATGAAAAGGGTTTAAGTGAGAAAAACGAGCAGAAAAAGAAAAAGATCTTTCATCAAGAGCTTGTCAAAGTCAGCATGCTCCTCTTTTTCTTTTCACTCATCACATATTGGACCTTCCGCATGTGCTGTGGTCCCCTTTATCCTATGCCAATGAAAAGCTAGCTTCTTTTTTTTTCCTTCACTGAATAAACATCCCACTGGTCAGAAAGGTCAGCTCGGGTGGCCTCATTTTGTTGTTTTGCTAATTAAAAAATGTACCCAAGGGTCTAGGTACTTTTTTACCCTTAGACTGCTTTAAAATATCTTATTTTTCAAGCCTTATTCTACTTCAGCAAATTTTTGCATTTTAACACAGTCGATTTGATTTAACGATTCGTTCTGGACCAAAAGTTTCGAAAAGCTAGCTTCTTCTTCTTCTTTAACGATTCTAAAAGGCATAATTTCTAGCTGCCCAACGATTTCGATTGGCTGGGCAGCTACACAGAAATCTAGAGCTTGTTTTAGAATTTTAAAATTGTTATATTTGTCGATTTTTCGATTGTATTTGCTAATTTTATTGCCTTCAAGATAAGCTGGTTTACAAAGTTTTAAGGCTCTATTTGATACGTAACTTAAGGAACGCTTTTAAAGTTGAAATGTTTTTACAAAATTACCAATTCACTATACTTCAATTCCTAGATATGTCACAGATGTTGAACAATATTTTAGCTTTTATATGCATAGGATATTCAGTGATTCATTTTTGGGGTTTTTTTTCTGGGGAAGAGGCGACTTCTATCGTCCCAATCACACTTCTAGGTTTCAGGTTATGAGCTACTCTTGTCCTACGTACTCTATTATTAAATATTTACAGAAAAACAACTTCTGCGTACGTGTATGGGTATTGCAGCAAGATTGGTGAGAACCGGGGGTTCAAGCCCTCTTTTGCCCCTTTCCAAGTCCTCCCCTCCTCCTGAAAGCCACCACACCACATGGGGTGTCAACTTTCACGCCTTTTCCCATTTTTCTTTTCATTTTCCTTTTCATTTGCAAAATTTGGACATCTTTTAAATTTTTGAAAATGTTGGCTCCATTTTCCAACGAAAACATCCGTGCGCCTCAAGAATGTTTTCAAGCAAACAAAGAGCCTAAAAAGGTTCATTTGCACTTGATCCTGGTAACATAATATAAAATAAAAAATAAAACTGATTTTTAATGCTTTCAATGATTCAACTTCGTTGATAAATTTCTCAAAAACTTATTTTTTCAAATTTTTTTGTGACTGTTTCCAGGAAATGTGACTGTGGAAGTCCGCAAATTTCCTTCCAATTATTACAAAAAAGTGCCCAGCTATTTTCAATTCAAATCAGATATCAGATAAATTTCGTAAGTTTTACAGTAGTAATTAAAAGATTTGTTTAGTAGCTTTTTAAGATAAGTTTTTTAATTACCCCAGGGACAAATACCCAAATGTTTTTCTCGTAAAAATTAAAAATGTACAATTTTTTTTTCTTTTTCTAATATCAGCTGATTCTAATTTAGAATGGTTGAAAGTTTGCTGAGAAAATGTAAAAATAAATCAGAAATTTGATGAATTTCTCGGAATTACTTAGGAAACCCTTAGATCTTAATCCAAGGGTTTCCTACAAATTTCCAAAGAAACCATTTTTCTATCGTTTCCCATCAATTTTTTTTATGATTTTTAAAAAGATTTTTGTCATTCGTGGGCAAATTGCAAGGTTTCTCGTTCAGAGTTTGCTTTCTTTTCAACTACAATCTTGATTACATAATGGTAATGTAATGTAATGGTAATGTAATGTAATGGTAATGTAATGTAATGGTAACGTTTTTATCACTAAAGCTCTAGCATCCAAATCTAATCAAATTGTTTTAACATCTTCTAAAAGCCTGATATTTTCAATATCAAAAGTTAACAAAAAGGTTTTTTCTGGAAACCTTTCGACTTTTAAAGCGTGGTAAAATGCTTGGATTCCAGTCAAGAGTCGAAAATTCCTAGCTAGATTTTGGCTATCACTCTCAGACTCCTCCCATCTTCCCAGAAGCTTATTCTTTTGCAATATATTATATATATTCAAGAATTGTTTGATTCACTCCATTCATTCTTTTGCAAGCTCTTTGGTTTTCGAAAGCTTTTTCATTTACTTCAATTTTACCGTAGTTATACTGAAAGTCATAAATAAACGTACGTAATAAAGAACTGCTAATAAAAAGACTATCTGATGCCTGCGTTTTCTAAAAGACATTTATTTTAGAAAAGTACTGTAATCAAACTGTTTTTATGACTGAAAATTCATCGGATATTAAAATTAAGCTAACTGAATAAAAAACTTGCAATTTGCTTACGATAGTTTACTTTGATAAGTGGCTCTTAGCAAGTGCTTTACTCAAAAGGATCAGTCATTTTTGTTTTGAGAAAAAAATCAGATATTTTCTCAAATTTTTGATCTCTTCTGCTACGAAAGGAGGGGTGTCCAAATGAGAATCTGCTTTCCTAAAAGAAAAAATGAAAGCGTCAAGACGGGGGTGAGTATTATCCATTTCCTTCCACTTCTCACTAGAGTCCCTTCTCCAAAAAAAGTGAAGAGATGTTAAATTGATGCTTGATGTAAAAAGAGGAAAGCAGAGTCATCAGAAAGGCAAAGGAAACAAAAAAGGAATAAGCAACCCAGAGATTCTTTCCTTTCTGGGTGCATCATTCAGCGCTACATATCTTCTCTGAAAGCTCTCCCTTTTTCGATCTTCGGGTACCCATGTGACTCCATTCATTCCTTGAAAGTCTATGATAGCTTTACTTATTCTTATTTGAGTACTTTTTCTTTCGTTTCTTTAGAGGAAGTGGTTTGGTTTTTAAACTTTTGATATTTTTTCTTGCTTTTTCAAAAGCTTTCCGCATTTTCTAGTGAACTTTAAGCTTTGAAATCATTATTATTTATCAGTATCGTCTTTGATTGTGACATATTTTGAATCTCATCGTACTTCTTGGATCTAGAGTGATCTTGATTAAGACTACTTTCTAAAAGCCATCTATATAGAAATAGAAAGTAGAAAATAGAAAGCTACTGTAATCAAACCGCAAGTTTACATTCAAAAAATGGTAATAAAGTAAAGAAATTAATGGTAAAAGACTTTTCTCAGGGGGAATTGAACCCTCGACTTTCTGCCTACCTGATGATGGATGCTCTACCACTGAGCTATCAGCATCTTGTTTACTCAAGAAGAAATAGGAAACACAAGGAAGAAAGAGAGGGAAATACTCTAATTTTGTTATCATTGACTGAACCTTGTGATCCACTGAATGATATCAAAAATTGGGATGATTCGAATGTAAACTGGTCGCTTCATTACAGTAGTTTAGTTAGCTCCCTCTGAAGTGAGGGAGATCAATTACGTTGTGGTGTAACAGTTAGCACCGTTCCCTGGTAAGCGAAAGCTCGCGGGTTCGAATCCCGGCAGCGCAAAAGTTTTCTGATCTGCCCTAGTTCCAACTGTTTGAGTGCATTTTAGAAAGTGCATTGGCCAAGAGGATCCCGTTTTACTTCTATCTAAACCATTCTTTTCTGTTATTCAACATTGATACAAATGTAGATAATTTTTATCACAAATCCAATCACAGATGTCAATTCTCCCACTCGCGATCGTCAATGCCATCTATCGGTCGTTCATTTGCTTCGAGTTGGTCATTCACTTTTTTGGATTTGCCGCCACTCTCTTCTTTTTCGTCATTTTTTTCCGCTCACCGGTAAATTCAGAGCACAGATTGAAAAGCTCGCAAAATGAAGCTACAATTCTATAGTCATTGCTATTAGTCAAACATTTCACTGCTATAAAGCAAACTTTGAAAATTCCGAATTTCAGGTATTTCACACAAATCTCCGATGGGTTTTGTACAGTTTTTGTGCGAGTTTTGCGTTGACCTCATTGATGCGAACGATTTTGTGCATTTTTCATATGTTTTTCTTGGAAGGTAGCCGATTTTCTACTATATATGAAAGAAATTTTGAATTTTCAGCTCTCCAAGCCTCGAGTAATACATTTTTGAGCAAGATTAGTGATTTCTTTTTACGGGCCAGAGATACGTGTTTGTATGCAGGTTGGTGAAGAGGAAAAGATCATTTTGAAAGTTTTAAATAGGACGGTTTACTGTACATAATCACTAGCTTAGTGTAAATGGTTCGTGTAAGCATACTAATGTCTACTAGAGTCTCAAATGGATTACCGTAGCTCTGGATTACGGTAGTCTTTGGCTTACAGTAGCTCCCGAGGTTCAAAGGTCAATTATGTACACCTGATCGAACTCTACTCTTTCAAAAGCTAAACAAAATTTTTAGGTGCTCTTCATATGCTTCTGCTAGCCGGTGAACGCCTTCTCGCCACCGCAAAATCGAAAACTTATGAAAACGAGAGGCACCATCTCCCTTTTCTCATAGTCATTATCATTATGGTGAGAAAAACAAAATTTCCCAAAAAGCAAAACTTTTCAGTGGAGTGCCTCAATCATTATGATGTTTTTCTTGAAAAACGGTAAGCGAAAACAAAACGATTATAGGATTTCAATCTTTAGGGAAACTTACGCAATACCTTTTTGCTGCTTTGTACGCGGTTTCCGATTTGGCGTCAATTGTTTTGATGATCATTGTTTATCGTCTAAACTACAGTAATATCGTTTTGAATCAAGGAACTCTTGATATCAGTCACGGTTATCAGGTAGGAGAAAAAAAAGGTGGGAAATAAAATCACACCAAAGCAGGTTCGAGAAAATGTCTCCACGTCGAAGCTTCTTAATCGAATATTTATAGCGATGGTGTTAATGACTTTTTCGGGTAAATCCCCAAAAACATTTTGAAACAAAGACACACTTTTAGGCCTTGCGAGCTATTTTGGGTACCTTTACTACAATGACCCGTTGATTGTCCGATGTTTTGGCTTCCTATTCGATACCACTGTCGCTTTACCAACCTTATTAGTTCCAACAATGCTTTTGGCAGGCAATGAACGAATGTGCAAAGAAGTCAAGCGATTTCTGCGCAAAAAGAAAGGTGAGGCAAAAGGATTCAAATTCAGCAAGCCTTCGATTAAATTCCAGGCAGACCATCACCCGTTGGCGCGCGAGCTACCAATCACTTTGTCGATTTTCAAGGGAGAAAAGTTCAATTAAAGGTTCGGTACCATATTAAACGTAGTTTTGATTTGAATTTCAGGTGGACAACGAACAGGAAGCCTACTTCACACTATACCAAGCCCAATGGGAATGCCCAAACGGAAAAACAAATAACACCTAACTACATGTACAGTGTAAAAATGGATTTATTCCAAAAACGAAATAAAACATCGTGTAAGTGAAGAATTTTAACAGGTTTTTACTCAAACATAACAAATATTTGCAAAATCTAAAGGAATAACAAAACAAAGTAGATAAACGCGTTTTTTTTATTGCTTGTCCATGTTACCATGTTAATATTGTCCAAAGCGGCCCCGGGGACCTCCGCCGCGCGCCGATCCGGTTCCGTGTCGTGTTCCATTCCAGTTCCCCCGTTGTGGCCCATTCCAAGTTCCTCGTTGTACAAAATTTGTCCGTTCCGCATATTGATATTGACGTTTGATATTGTCCTCCTATCATAAACAAAAACTTAGAATTCGATAAAATAAGAAACCTCATACTTGTAGATCATCACTTGCGGTTTACCTCTACGTGGGCTGACGAGAAGCACACTCTTTGGCGAAAGAGCGATTCCGGCAATGTACGGCTTCGCGCCCGGCTCTCCAAAAGTGTTGATTATGCAAATCGGTTGCAAGCGCTCATTGAATACCTAAATTTTGATTAAAAAATTAAGGAATTTATTTTCACAAACATGTAGAGAAGATCCCCGTGCATCACCAACAATTACCCAGCCTTTGTCGTCAATCTAAACATTTATACGTATGTGAAAGCAACCAAAAAATTCACCATGATTCCAGAGCCATAGGCAATATAGCCAGGCGTGTTCGGTTTGAAAACATCTTCATTGAAGTACTCGTGCCTCAACACAAGCTTTTTCGCATTATAATCGACTTGATAGGATCTGACCATGCATTGATTTACGTGTCCCGTGTGCTCTAAACACCTTCAATTATTTGCAAATCCACAAAAAACAAACTATATGTTCCAAGATCGGAGACTGCTAGGGTTCCTCGATGATAATGCAAAAACGAAACATTTCCAAATTGTAGCATTCCCAAGCTGTGATTGAGATGAAATAAGGGCCTTCCATAGGTACACGAAAATAACAACTAAAACAGATGCAACTAAGCCTAACAAGTTTCAATAGGATACCTCATCACGAGCTGACTTCTTCGCGTTGATGCAGTGGATCTTTTTAGCGCCGGATTCATACGTAAAAAGCACTTCTCGCCTGGTATCAGCGGTAAGTCCTGAATGAAAAATGAGTGAATAACTGAAGAAAGATTTACCCCGAAGCTTCGTTATATTGTTTTTCTTTCCGTCGAATATTAAATTGTATACCCATGCTGCCTCGTACGAGCAGCCAATTATTTCGTCTCCGGCAATTACAGCGTAGCGAATTCCGGGGCTGACTATGGCTACCGCTTCAAGTGGCAACAATCCCGGGTAGGAAGTAGAAGAAATGAGATTGACACCGGCAAATAAGCCTTCATCGTTGGTGTTAAAGAGTGACACCTATATATTTCATAATGGTCAATTATCAAAAAACGACTAACCAAATTTCTTCCGCGAACAGCCACAGCATAAAAATCAGACGCAGCATCGTAAGTTCCCGAAAATCCGATGTCGCCTTCATTAAAGGTGTGCGTGTGAATTTGTCGCAGATGTCGTCGTGCTGAAAAATAACAGAGCTTTATAAATGGTTAAGATATCAACAAACCTGTTTGAGTGTCCTTGTCAATTTGAAATAGCTTTTCAAAGTCCAACGGGGCTAAAGTTAACTAGTAAGTAGCTTCAAATGAACTCTCACCATCTTGTTGGTTTGGCTCATCCTTGTCCTCCAAATGATCTGGAAAGTTGGTCACAGATCCATTGTTTGTTTTCGCGCTTGCTTCTTGGTGTGATGTTAATTCAAATTGACTAAGCGCCTCTTCGAATAGGCCAAAATTGAAGTTGCCTTTGCATTTCTTATGGGTTTCAGCTTCTTCCTTTTCCTGTGGGAGAGGAGAGCTCGTGGAAGAACTAAAATACCAAAATTATCGAAAAAATTGAAAAGTTCTATCCTTTTAAGACTACCAATTGACAAAACACGACCCTATCCACCTGGCAATAATAGAAAAATAAACTTACCTTCCGGAAACATCGCAATTCACTTCTCGAATTGTATCCCAAATGTGTTTTCTCCATCCCAAGCCCGCACTTTTTGGAGAATCCTCGTTGATTCGTTCCATTGATCTAAAGAATCATAATTAATGTAAGATCCAGCTAAAGTAATATTAGATGAAAAAGGAAGAACCTTAAAACGCATTGTTTGCATACAGATGAACAAAAAAATGGGGGTACTTGTGGGGTTGGGGATCACTTTTTTTTGCGTAGATTATGAATTTCACAGTGGGAGCTTGAGAAAATGCGTTTTAAACTGACACGCGGGATCCGAAGTCGCCGCCTTTATAGTGTACTTCACACTGTAATGTTCCTATAAGGGCTCAAAAGGAGCTTCATGAGCTTTTTCCTGCCCAAAGAGTTTTTCTGAAATAATTTAGAGTCCTGCGTGCAATTTGAGTAGAAAATTGGTAATCTACGCGAAAAGTGCCCTAGAAAAAGCCCTTTTGAAGAAAAAAAGTATCCCCCCAACCCCACAAGTACCAAAAAGGGATAAATTAGTCAAATATTTTATCAAAGTTATTATTTATTTATTTATTTGCCTTAATGCTTAGGAAAACGATTGAGCGCCCCTGAAACTTTGAAAAATGTTTGAAATATGACTAAATGGATGGGTAACACAGAAAATAAAACAAACCAAACAACCAAATGAATTTTTCGATTGGGAAATCCGACGGAATGCGAAAAGTTGTAAAAATTTCAGTTGCACAACTGAATATCTTTAAATTTGTGGGCGTAAATGTGGATGTAATTTAGAAAACAAGTTTATTTTTTACGCAAAGAAGAGTTTTAAACACTTTAAACATCTAAAACCAGTTACGAGATGTTTTCTTGACAAAATGGGATGGATTACCATAATAATTGTAATAGTAGCGCCCTCCCCCAGACTCGTAATCTAACTTCTTTTTAGAAAATCATTTTTTTCTCAGTTCCTAGATTTTTCCCAACTACACTTTTGGTACCAAAAAATACTAGATTTCAAGCAGAGGGGCACTTTTTTTCGCAAAAACCACTTTTCCCGGGGTAACAGCGAAACTCACCTCAGCCCTTGGAGAATCAGGCGATAGCCAAGGAGCCACGTGCCTCTAAGGTGCGGAGCCAAAGCCTAGGCAACTATAGGCGTCTATCATGTTATAGTCAAAAACCCCTGAGTGCAAACTATCGGCTCGTTTGACGAAAAAAATTTGGCTCCCCCCCCCCTAACTAGTATAGCCCCCAAAAATCTTTATTTTTTGCAGAATTTTAAAAATTCTAAAAATTGCGTTTTGATTAAAAATCGACCCTAATGATGTGATATTCGTACTCAGCGTACTCAATTACGCCGGGAAAAGTGGTTTTGGCGAAAAAAAAAAGTGCCCCCTCACAAACCTTCTTTTTGACTTTGGCAAGAAAGGTAAGGTTGGCAAGAAAGTTCGTAGAAAAAGTTTGGACGGTGATTTCTCAAAAACCAAGCCATGAATTCTTCCCAGATTTTTTGATAAACTTGGCTATATTTCAAAAAGTTTTTGACAAAAAAAATCAGAGTGGGCTTCAGGTAAAAAAATAAGAGATTTCTTCAGTTCGAGTGACTTGATCACTTTTTGAGTGACCAGCCTTTAGACAAGTTTTTAATGGGTTAGTGGATAGGCAATGGGTCCCATTCAAAACCTAAAATGAAGTACTTAAAATAGGGAAAATTTGTGATTAAGGCAAATTTTATTTAATGCTTTAACTTTTCAGAATGAACAGCATTTTAGTAAACACTCAGTGCCAAGAAGATGACACCAAAAAATGATTTTTTGAAATACAGCTTCTCTGTAAAAAATTTTTTGGCCAAAAATAGAGATTATAGAGCGTATTGCTCATTTATGCTAGCACTACCTCATAAGGAATCGTTTTTCTGACGCAAAAAGTGAGCTGAATTTAAGCTGGAAAATAATAATCTTTCAAAAATCTCTAAAATTTTAAGCGAAGGCTGCACTCATTTTTTACGAGTAATTTCTTGGAGTCACGTCGTAAATAATAGAATAAAATGTTCTTGAATTGGTGGATTCGTTTTTAAGAAATTCCAGTCAAACTTTTTCCAAGAACTTTCCAACCTAATATAATTCATGTTCCTTGTTTTTTTTTAATATGTCTTTATTTTCAACGCCTAATGCCGGTCCACGGTCGTCCGAAGACGCAATCGAAAATCACCGCGAGGAGCCAACCGATGGTGGTGAGCTTTTATTTCCTTGTTACAATGGGGAAATGTTTCTTGTCTTCGATTAGGTCTTTTTGGCAGTTATCTAGGTACTCTTTTCGACTAAATTTAGCAATGAAAATCGTGCAAAGACTTTCTTTCATCTCCTCAGTCCCTTTGACTACAAAGTACGACCCCTGTGTGTTTTTTTTGAAAAACTTGCGCCAAATTTTTTGCGCAACTAGGTCTTTGGGGTAGACTAATTTCCGCCATTTTATTTGCGCAACAGGGTCGCAGGTACGTTTGCGCAACAAGGGTCATTTGCGCAACTTTAACACTGTATTAAGCACTCGGGTTTTTAATCATTATTTTCATTTTTGAGCTTTTTTATTGTTTTTTTAATGTTCTGCTATTTTTTTATGAAATCTTCCAATTTTTTGCGCAATCTTCCAATATTTATCTAAATTAGTCCTTTCTAGGAGCTAATAACCATTAGTAAAATATTTTATTGCTTTAACAAAAAAGTGCAACCGATAACAATGAAAGTTAGGATAAGAATAGCAATGAAATTTAGGAAAACAATAAAAATCAAATTTTTTTAATATAAGTCAAAAGCTGAGAAAGATGTTGCACAAAATAGCAACCGGGCAAGCGACCATTAGAAATAGCAGTAAAACGTTGCTTTTGTCGAGCCAACACAGTTTTCTTCCGTGCGTAGTTTTGTCTAACAGTGAGATTGATAGCCGATGAAAGCTTGAAACGGTTGATTATTTGCGTCATTTCTTTCTAAAGTCTGACCGCAGTATGCGATGGATGCGGATTCTAGCAAACCTTCAACGCTTTAGAAAGCGCACCACTCTGCTTTCGCCCTAGTCCCTTAAAAACGTCAAAAAAAGTTGCGCAAACGTACTGGCGCAAATGCGCCTGTTGCGCAAATAAAATGGCGGAAATTAGCCTACCCCAAAAACTGAGTTCAACCAGGGTTTATATTCATTCACTAGATCCTTTTTTAGATCCCGGTTCGAATGAATGTGCCACCGAATGATCCCAATTTGGGAGACATAAAGGTCTGCAACTTTTTAAAAAATGGTAAATAATTTGTTTAATTTTAGCTATCCGACGTTAATGCGCTTCGTGCTGAACGAGTGAGCTCGGACGATATTCAACTCACTTTAACTTCGAAGGAAACCGAAGATGCTAAAGAGGTACTTTAATACATTAAATTGATTTTATGAATGGTAAATCTTAGTTATGTGATCAATTTTTTGATTGGATCCTCAACTTGGATAATCTGGAGCAGTTGCAAACGATCAATTTTCAAGAGAGCACGCCCGTTTACCCGTCCACGGTTAATTTAAAATTTATATGTATACGTATGCTTTAGGAGGCAGAAGTAAAGCTGTTTGATGTTGGAAAAACGACAACTTGGCTGGACCACTTTTTGAATGGGAAAACGCTGGAAGACATTGAGGTAAATCTAGTTTATTAATTGTGAGTAAAAATAAAATCTTAGGTGATAGCGCATGTCGACATGAAGATCGTGCTACTTGGGCTTGTGGAAGCAATTTGGAAAGGTGTTACCAGGGGCGATTAAGAAACTTTTTTATTTAGAAGAAAATCGTCGCAATGTATCTATTGAGCCTTTACTCCAATTGGCCGAAGTAGATTGTTCAATAGCCAAAGTGAGCGTTAAAGCTAATTTTTTTTCTTGTTGTTGTTTTAGCATGTTTACAACTTCGTTACACTTGGAGGCAGAAATGATGAAAAGACTCCGTTTTGCTTATTCTATGTGAGGATTTTTCCCACTCAACAAAATCACAAAATACTTTTTTAAGAAACTGTTCGTGTCTCCTTTGACAGCAGCCGTTGCCTTACTCCTAGCGCGTGCCGAATTGTCAGCATGGCATCTAAAAGTTGACTGGGAAAACGTTAGACTTTTCGAATATTCGGCTGCTGAGTACAAAGAAGTTAGTTTTACAACTAGGTAAAATATAGTTTTCCTAGGCTTTGGAATCACTTGACAGGGACTTAGCCGTTCATTTTTCAACAAACCCGACTCTTGATCCATCTTGTATCGATGCGCGACTAGAGTGAGTTTCGTTTGTTCTTTTTTATTCAAACTTCAAACTTCAAACTTGTTTTAGAGAAATAGCTGCCATGGGGAGAGAGTTTGAGGCGTTAACGAAAGTCACCGAGCCCGAGTACGAGTCCTGGGTTAAAGAATCCGCAGCGATGCTGGAAGATATCACAAATATGGTCAGTTCGGTTCTATCAGTTTCGATTTGAACGACTGTTTAGCGTGCCGAGTTGGGGCAAGTCGCTACAAGACACGCTCGAATTGCCGAAGAAACTTGGCCAGATAATCTATCACGCAGTCCACCGAGAACGCAAGAAGAGAACAACAAGGTTAGATTGATTTTCTCAAAATCTCTATGTTTGCCTAGATGAGCGAGGAGATTATCGATTTGGCTCGCCAAGCCGAACAAATTCACATTCCAAAGGTAGAAACCCAAAATCGAATTTTAAATTGTCGTTATTTAGCCTGCAATCACACTCAAAATCGGCGAGCTCGCGAACTTTAACCCTGGTGTAACAGTTTTGGCGCGACGTGAGCCCAAGGATTCGATGCCATTTGAGAAAGCTAATGTCGTCGCTGTTCGGGTTAGTTTAAAGTCTTTTGATAAAACCGAGTTGTTGCGTTTAGACGTTTGGATCTACCTACATTCTCGAATTCATCTCCGACAGGGTTAAAGTGAGCTTTGAGCATTTGTTTTTGCTAAAATTATTCTTTCAGAAAGAAGTCGGCATTGAAGATATGGCCTATTTTCAACTGAAGACCACTGATGATTTTGTGGAGGGAATGCGTGTTTGTGCGAAGGTCAGTATAATTTCTGCGAATGTATTTTGAATTGATTGCAGATAAGACATCCCAATCCACCAAAACAACAATATCCTGGTGATGGATATTTCTCTGGAACAATCTCGAATAGGCCGTCAAGTGTGCACAACTACGAATATTTGGTAGGTTTTTCATGCTGTTTTCATAACACTTGTTTGATTTTTGGTTTTCTTTGACGATAATTTCGACGAGTATGTGAAGCGCGATGTTATCAAAGTTATGGCTCTTCAGCCAGTGGAACGGGGAATAATTGACAAACGAAAAGCTGGCAGCTTAGTCCGGTACAAATTAATTTTTGAAGGCATCATACTTTTTTATAGAAACAGCAACAAAAAGCGGGAATTTCTCAATCTCTACTTCAACGCTTATCCAGATTGGGGTCTTGTCCGTCTGCGCAAGAGTGATGCTCAACAAAACACTAGAATTGCTGTTAGAAACAGGTAAGCCACGTCATCGATCGTTTTGATAATTCTAAACAGGGATGGTGCTCAATGGTCAGCAATTGTGATGGATATTGATCGTCACATGTGTTTATTGAGATTTCCCCCACTTGGAAAAAGCGTTGGTTTTAAAAAGATTTTTTCAAATCGAAAAGTTTAGGTTGGAAGCGGCGCTACTTGTGTGGTGCGTAATTGCACGAGTCATTACCATCTCGACGAAAGGCTTTATAGAGGATCTGATAGATTCCATCAAGTGGTAAGGCGTTATAACTAGCAGATAAATCTGTAAATAATATTTTGAATTACTTAAAAAACTATGGTATTAACAAATTGTTTTAGGAGCAAGGCTTGAAACAACTTGAACTCGGTCAAACTGCGGTGTCAAATCTAACCAGTGGCCGCTCTCGGCATCAACGATCAATGCTCGAAAGTGCTGTGCCGCTGTATACTCTTGAAGATCGACCCCGGGGCAACGATGCAAGAAAGACAAGACATCCGAATACCGTAAGTTTGCATATCATAGCTTTCAGTTACTAAAACATTAGGTGCGCAAAACTTCAGCGCCCACAGGGATGGTTCCAGCCGTTCAAAAATCACACCAATTCGCTTCGGAATATACGGCAGAACAACTTGCTGAGCGAAAACGCAATATGAACAAGGTTGGCTTTTTAAAATCTGTCTCTAGTGTTTTTCTGCAAATGATGTTTGATTGTGATATAGATTTTACTTTAGTTTGATGTGGTAACTTTGACAAACGAATTATCGACGGTAGCCTCTCATGAGGGTAGCTATCATATGACTTGCTCCAGTGCTTGTCTCAAAGTAAATTTATCAATCTTAAAAAAATTACTATGATTTTAGAACCTCAACAAAGATTCATCGAATTTTAAAGGCGTCAGTCCGTTCCATATTCCTCTTCTGTGTGGGTGGCAGCGCTTGGTGGGATGAGTTTTTGGATTGAGACTCTTAGCATCGCGGTATTTAATGCTAAAAGTTAAGGTCTACAAGGCTGCTCAACCAACAGTCGGTGGTCGCCGTGGACGGCGGCCGCTTGTTCTTTATCGTGGACCTTGTGGGTGCCCCTTGTCATCTTTGAATGAAGTTGCAGACTACTTAAATGTAAGCTTTATGTGTAGTTGTTGTACATTTAGATAATTTAGATAACCATGTGCGAACTAACCATTGATCTTTTTGCATTTGAGCCCAATCTGCGAACCAATGTAATTATCAAAGTAGAAGCTCGAGACCAAGTGCTTGCCGATTTTACTCAAGGACTCGAAGCCATGCCAATCACAGTAGTAAACTCTGTTGATTCAGGACCTCTCCCTGATGTAGATTTCTCTAATTGTATGGCGAAATAATGGCAAAAGTTTAGATTCAATATAGCGCTAAACGTTTTCCGGAAAATGATGAAGTAGATCTTTCGAGCGCTAGGAAAGAGTTTTGCACCGGGTGTTCTTGCACGGGTAAGATTTTTTTTTTATTGATCGTGAATAAACAAATTTTAGATGATTGCCGAGATGCTTCGAAATGTGAGTGCCAAATTCTTACGAAAACCAACGTGGAGCGAATGGCTAGAGATTTTCGGCCTTCCGAAAAATGCAGAGGGTGATTTTTCACAGAGAATTTAACTAAAGCAACGGCATTTAGCTATGACTTTCGGCGTGCCAACGAGCGTGTTCCCTCTGGAATTTACGAATGCAACGATGCCTGCAGTTGTTGGAGAAAAAGGTAGCGTCGAATTATTGCGAGTTTATGAAATTTTAGATGTTTCAATCGTGTCGCTCAACAACAAATCAAAGTACCGCTTCAGCTTTTCAAGACAGCTCAATGTGGATGGGGCGTTCGTACGCTAGTAGATTTACCTAATGGGTGATTTAGTTATTAGTTTTTAAATCCTCAATTTAGATATTTTGTTTCAAATTATAATGGCGCTCTCTTAACCGATCATTTGGCTGACAAATTGAAAGATCGTGGAGATGAATACTTTGCGGAGCTCGATCTAGTCGATGTGGTATTTTCTCCAAAAACGTTTATAGTGCTTTCTGAATTGTTTAGATAGAAAACCAAAAACGAGATGGAGGAATCGACTTATTGGAGGATAAAGGAATGGCGGATTTAGAAGACGACAGCGAATCTTCTGATGGTGCTGAAGGGAATTCAGAGTTGGGCATTTTTTTGCTTAATTATTATCAATTTATCATTAAGTTCTGATGGTTACTGCTCCGATAATAGTTCTGATAAAAACAAGAGAAAGAAGCAGAGAATCGACGGATTACAAACGACTGCATCGCAACAACAACCAAGTTTTTAGTATTAACTAGAGCTGTTTATCCCCTTTTCAGAAGGCTTTGGTGATACTTGGGATATGGAGGAATATTTTGGGGAAAAATACTTATTTGTTGTTGATGCGAAGAAACGTGGAAATATTGGGCGGTATTGCTATTTATTCTTACCTGGATTAAATTGTTTAGTTTTTTCAATCATTGCTGCGATCCAAATCTGAGGGTTCAACATGTGTTCATAGATACACATGACATTCGGCTTCCGTGGATCGCATTTTTTACTCGGCGATTCATCAAAGCCGGCGAGGTATTTTTTGGATTGTCTAGCCGAATAAATAACTTGATATTTGTAGGAATTACGTTGGGATTATGGGTACCAGTTTGACGAAACGACACAACCAGTGAAAATTGTCTGCCACTGTGGAGCAAAGGATTGCCGCCGCCGACTACTTTGATATATTTTTCAAAATTATTATTACTTTACGTGTACGTTTTTCTGAGATCTCTTTGTTTTTATTTCATTAACAGTTTTACTTATGGAAATAAACTTTGTTAGATACTTGTGCCAATAAAAACATTTGGAAAGCTTTAGAAAAGATCCATTTTTTTCTAAAATCTGACCCTAAGCGGTGTTTGTAGTTTGTAGTGTTTGCGTGGGGAGATTTTAGCGTCTGATAATTTGTTTTATGTGAATCATCGGCTGAAGATTTGGATTTTGTAAGAAGTACGAAGTGTTATGAGTAGTGATTCATCGATTGAAGAGGCATCTGACATGTGGATGCGCTCGTGCTTCCTTCATCGTCTTGTTGCCTCCTCTGTGAAAATCTCTGAAGCGGCAGGAGGGGTTATCAAGGTTCGCTTTTGCGCTTATTATCGGATTAAAAGGCATTACAGATAACCAGCATAAACCAGTGATTGTTTTTAACAATCTGCTATTTTAGGACATTCTCTGCGATGGTGATTTGAAGATTATCGACAAGGGAGGAAGCGGGAAAACGGCCGATTTACAGGTTTCTCCTAACACATTTTAGGAAAATAAGTTAGCCGAAAGGTTTCATACATTTTTAATTTAGACAGAAGCTGATCGAGCTGCCCAATATTGCATTGTGAAATCGTTACACGCCGTCTTTGGAGATAAAATCACCATCATTGGCGAAGAGGTATGCTATTAGGTTGATGCAAAAGTCTTTTTCATTTTTTTCGTACTTCCGTTAAAAAGTAACAAATGCACCAATTGAACAACGGTTTATTGCATTCGAAAGGCCAATTATTTTTCTGCAAAATGACATTAAAACGAGTTTAAAATGTCTTATGTCTAGATTTTTTTGAGAGCCTGAAGTCGGGTAGTCAAAAAAGGCGACGGCTCGATGATGCATTTTAGACGCTTTAGCTAAGGAAACCAATCTTGATGTTAATAAATAAAAGATAGAGCACAAAAAGTTAGATATTTTTTCAGTTTTTCAGAGAAATTGATTCAGCCAATTTCTTTATAGAGGTTTTTATAGATTTTTATGAAAAACCCGTTTTCACTCTCGAATTTGCTTGAAAGTGAACCCAAATTGACTTAAAAAGATGGGAAATTGAAAAATAAACACTTTTCATTTAGAGCAAACCATAGGTTAATTGATGACTTTGTTATTTTTCAAAAGAAGTACGAAAAAATGAAAAAGACTTGCATCAACCTAATATTTTACTATTACAGCTAAAAAGTTTTGTTGTTTTTAGGAAACCACTTCATTCACACCGCGAATAGAGAAAGGATTTTGCTCCAAAGTTCTCTCGCTTAATGATAAATGTCCAGAAAATTTGCGAGACATTAACCCGGAAGACGTGAGTTTTTTTCTATAACTTTTCTTCCTACGTGTCTAGCTTTAGGTGGTAATTTGGGTCGACCCTCTTGATGGAACAGTGGAAATTGCTAATGCTGCAAAGAAAAGCGCAGGTTGATTTAATTTTAGTTTAAGCTAATACGCAATATTTTAGCTGTCTTGGCTCAGGTGACAGTTCTCATTGGGATCGCGTATCGTGGTCGCCCGATCGCTGGTGTCATTCATCAGCCATATTATGAGGTATGTAAATTTTCGTTTCTTTAGAGAAACAAATCTAGGGTCGTGAAAATGGTCGAACTGTGTGGGCGATCAATGGAGTTGGCACGTATGGAATGGATTATGTGAAAGGTGGAGCTTTTTCTTCTTAAAGTAGTATAAAGTACTTTTAGAAGACAACAAGGAGCAAAAGATTGTGGTGACGACACGAAGCCATGGGACAAGTTCGGTGGATGCTGCACTTGATGCGCTAAACAAGAAAGGTAACAATTGAATAAGTTAGTGTGAATTTTTAAGTAGGTAAATAAATTGATCTATAAATGTCATGCTCATTAAATGCAAAGAAAAGTAATAAAAATTACATTTAGGCCTTGCTGATACTGTGGTTCGTGTGGGTGGAGCAGGTTATAAAGTGGGTTTGATTTTATAAATCTAGTGTGATTTATTTGTAAACAGATTACACAGTAATTTAGGTGATGCGTATATTGGAGGGAGCGGCCGCTTATGTGTTTGCAAGTCAAGGTTGCAAAAAGTGGGACACCGCTGCTTGCGAGGCTGTGATTGAGGGAACAGGTATCTTTTTAATGTTTTATTGCAAACTTTGTTACTTGGTATATGGCTTTGTTTAGGCGGTCGTTTGACAGACATCAGTGGGCGCCTCTTGAACTACGAGAAAGGCGTTCAACTGAACAACACCGGTGGAGTTCTCGTCACTGCTTGCTGGGTGGATCATCAGGTGAGAACTTTTTAGGCTCCAGTACACTAATGCAACTATTGTTTAGTGTAAATTTTAAAAAGTTTTCTTGGCATTTATCCAATAGTACGTAAACTTCTCAATTTTCAGGATTACCTCAACAGCATCCCTGATGCGTTGAAGGAAGCTTTGCCAGAATTTCAAGCCAAAAATTAATTACGCAATGAGTAAAACGTTCAGTTCCATTTTTATCGATAGTTTCGTTTTTGCTTGTTTTAGGTTAGATTTTGGGCAACTTTGTGATAGTTTTAGTTGGTCGTTTTTTCGAAATACATTTCGTTATTCTTTTTTCTTTTATCGGAAGCCTCTATTTTGTGATTAAACCTTTATTGTGATTTTCTTTTTTCATATTTGCCACACTGCTCTTATATATCATTTTTCGACATTTATGTTGTGTCACAAGGAATAAATTTAAATTGATTTTTAGAGGAAAACGGTAAGATGTGGTTAAAAGATGGGAAAATCGATAGAAATGCTTGGCAGTGTTCTGAAAAGATTGGCTAAAAAAAGGAAACAATTATGCAACTAGCGATTTTAGCACATAAAAGAATTGATAGCTAAATTCAAGAAGCAAAAAAAAGGAGAAAAATCATAAATTTATTTTTGTTTAACGGATTTGGATTCCGGTGATCTCAACATCGCCGCCGATTTGCAATCCATTGAGCTCATGAGGCTCGAGACGGTGCGCATACGAGGCGAAACGCTCACCGTTCACATTGATCTGAAAAATAAGTAGATTTACATAGTAGATCAGACTTGCATTCAAATTCTATGTCAAAGTATATTTCCACAATGCCGCCATTCTGTTGAGCAACCACCAATTTGAATAGAAAACTTTGAGGAAAGAGAGCAGAGGTTTTCCCAGAGAAATTAGCGTTCTATTGCGCGGATTATAGCATCCTACTTAGTGTGTATTCTCTACACGAGTTCTTATTGTATCTTTTTTTGCACCCCCTTCTTTCACTCACCGCAAAAGCGTACTCCTCATTGTGAATCTCCAAGTCGAAGATAACGGCCTTCTCGAATGGAATCTGAATATCAGTTATTGGGTCGAATTTGGATCGAATATTGATGAAATTGTGACTCCTACCTTTCCTTCGCGTTCCTCATTTCCCCATTCGTTGGCGATCAACGAGTTGCGAATGATTGCCTAAAGTGATTTGAGGTTTCAACAAATTTTTTAGGCTAACTGTAGGTGGATAAAGTCATTTGGCACTAATTGAATCGATAAGTCTACTCACTACAATTTCTTCCCTTTACTTCCCACTTTCTTTCTCACCTTCTCATCAAATCGTGGATTGAAGTGGAGTGCGATATCTCCATTTTTCTTCAAAAGATTGATGTGGAAGCGTTTTGCTTTCTTCTCCGGGCATCCATAAACAACGAGAGTTTTTCCCGGCGCCAAACCGTCGTGAGCCAAGCCTGACTCGTATGGAACTGGCTGAAAAGGCTTGTTGTTCGAAAATTTGATAGCTTTAAGTTGAACTTCTAGTTTTTTTTTTTGTAACTCACATAGTATTTTCCGCCCCAGTGAATGTGATTCACGATAACATCGCCATCGATCGAGAAATGAGTGATCGCCGAAAGGGGCACTCGGTGCTCGTACTCTTTGAGCTCTTTCTGAAAAATGGTTGAGTATTTTGTTTCTGGAGCCGATCTTGACTTGGACACAGCTCGACCCAATTATAGTTAAGCCTTGCTTGGAAGTTCAATGTTCTTATTTCCTCAAGATATTTAAAATCGCTCTTGTCTTTGCCTCAATCGAAAGATTCTTGTCGATCACCTAGACATAAAAAAGCGTCAAGGTTATCAAGTGGCACTCTCTTTTTTTAGTGATATTGTTGTAGGGAGAAATTCGAAAAAAAAAAAATGAAAAAGACTGTTTGAAAGAAAACGATTTGTCCTTGCAATTGAAAAAAGGAGTAAAAGATTTGCAGAAAATGGAGAATGGATTGGGAAAGACTGCATTTTTGTGCTGAAATTCGGTTATTGCTTGGAAATTGTGAGAAAATTTAGCATTAAAGCTATTTCAAAGCTGCATTTTTACGAAATTATCCCCCAGACTTGATCACGAGTGTACTTTGTGCGCAAGCTTGTAAATACACCATTTCTGGTGCACTAAATTCTTTAATTAATACCAACTGCAATGAAAGAATCCGAGAAGAATACATTTTTTTCAACTTTTCACTATTGATTTGTAATCCCGATTTTTCTTACACCCTCTTTGCCTATTTCAGCTTTCCAAATAGGTTTTGTCTTCCTTTTTTCAAGGTCAACGATTTTTTTTTCATTTTCTCATTTCTTTTGCACTAACCTGATCAACAAAGATCTGGAATTTGCTGTCATGAGCGCGGATACGGATATCGACATCATCTCCCTAGAAAATATTTGGATATAGACCATTAAACTCGTTTAAAACTATACTTGAATAGTAGCCAGTGGATGGCTATCAGCTACTTAAAAATCGTACTGCATCTGGGTTATACCGGCAGCTAAGTGACTCAAAAAGGCAGATCAAGTGGGCAGATCAAGTTTAACCAAAGAATCCGTTTTTAAAAGGCTCCACAGCTTTTTATTTATTGTTTTTTATTGGTAAAACCTATACTTATAATCCCATCTACCGTGTTTCTTTTGCTTAGTGCAATGGTTAAACTTTTACGTACTACCGTATTTCTTCAAATAGAAGACCGGGTAAAGAGTATCATCGCGTACCCCTTTTTAAAATTTCTTTTCTGCATGAAAGCTTTCAAACAAGTGCTACAGAGCTGGAAAATGACTCAAAAATCTCTTAGCTCATGTGGTATTTTTGAGTCATTTTCCAGCTCTGTAGCACTTGATTGAAAGCTTTCATGCAGAAAAGAAATTTTAAAAAGGGCTGCTACGCAGGAGTACGCGCTCATACTCTTTACCCGGTCTTCTATTCGAAGAAATACGGTATACTATTTTGTTCACGCTTTTAAATTTGTACTAAAGAAGGGGAATACATTGTCCCTTGAACTTTCTTTGAGAATCCCCACTTTACACTTTTCCTAACATTAATCTTATTTAGCTTTATTTCTTTTACCTCTCTGGAGATTCATTTTTATAGTTTCCATGGTTTTCACCAAAAAATAAACATCTATTTCTTACCTTTTTCCATGGATTCGATTTGCGCTCTTCTTTTCCCCATTCGCCCTTTGAGAACGTGTTGAACACAATCTAAAACGGAAAAGTAGAAGTATAAAATGAAAATAACTTTAGAAAACCTAATACTTGACTGATTATTTTAAAAAAAATAACTAACTAAAAAACTAACTAAAAGATAACTCAAATTCTCACCTTTCCCTCATCGAAACGAACGGAGATATGAAGGGGAACGTCGTTGCCCGAGAAATCCGCCGATGAGTTGTGCAAGTTGATCGTGAATCTGAAAGAAAAGAAGAAATTTTAGATATATCTTGTTGTTCAAATATAGTGAATACTTAGATATAGATTTGCTTTTTTTTGGTAATTAAAGAGCTTTTGGTTTGGGTATTTTTCGAGTTCTGAACAAAGAGCGTTTTTGGGCAAGTTTGAGACTTTTGTAAGTCTGCCAAGCTATGTAAATTGCACATTACTGTTGTAATTGTAATTGTAAACAGTAATTGTACATTACTGTTTTACCAAATCCTTTGAGACTAATCTCATTTTATTCGTCTTCCAAAAATTGACATCCTGAGAAAAGCTTTGCAAAGCACTCGAAAGGAAAAAGTATTGAAAGATCCCTTCTACTTGTGATGGCTTAAAAGATGGCTTAAAAATACTCAGGCTTAACAAAACGTTACAACTTTAAACTTATAAGCTTTAAAAACCCATTAGTTTCTAAAGCTACAGGTAACTTTTAATTTCAACAACTTAGCATCGAGTTTTTGTTCAATTTTCCCAACTTTCCCCTAAACTTTGATCGCAAATTTGTTGGGGAATAAGCTTTGCAAAATGGAAAAGTACCTATAAACTATTAATTTTTTTATCAATTTTTCATCTTTGGCATTTCTCCAAGCGTCAAAGAAGGAAACTTTGAGATCCCTCTCAAGCTGGAGATCTCAAGAGTGACCATATGGAGAGAATTTGAAATGGGAAAAGAAATGGGGAATAAGCAAAAAGATAAAGAGGAGTTCGACTCTTTTTTCAGCTGTGTAATCTTTTTTTGAAAGCGAAAGATCGGGGGATGGAGAGGGCAATATGAGCCTTTCTGCTATAGACTTTTAGACTCTCCATTTTCTATGGAGAGTCTAAAAGAAACTTTGAGATCCCTTTTCTATTTTCTATTCAACATTTCTATCCTGAAAAAGAATCTGGAAAACAAAAAGAAAACATTGATCCAAAAGGTGACAAGTTTCAAATTTGGTTTGACTTAAACCGACTTTCGGTTTCGACTTGAAACTTTTGTTTAAAGCGGACAAGCCAGGCTTTGAAATCTTGAACGTGTGCCCAAAATTGCAGAAAATACCCTTTCTGGTGCACTGGATTTTGTATTCTTTAGTGGAAACAATGTGAAATTATAAGAAAAATGAAGAATCGAGTGCACTAGAAGGGATAGGTTTATAGATTTGAGCACAAAGTACACTCACTCCTGTTGTTTCTGTTTTTTAAATATTCAAAAAGAGATTTCTAAAGAGAAAAGAATGAAAAATAGACTGATCTCTACATTTTTTAATGTCAATTAAAAAATTTGAAGAAGAAAAAAAGGAAAAGGAAAAGACAAATGACAAAAGCCATGCATTGGAGAAAAGCGGTCACTTTGGGACTTTAATTTTCATTATTTTCACTATCATTAACACTATAGTTTTAATTTTAACCTATCCACAGAATATCTAATTCTCAAATTCTCAAAACTAATTCTCTTTTCAATGAAACTTCCAATTGACTTTCGCCCCGGTAAACAAATCAACAACAGAGCGAAATTTTTTTCACCCAAAAAGCAAAAACAAACAGAAATTCGGAGAAAAGAGTTTAAAACTCTTGAAACTTTTGCTGATAGGTCGATTAAACAAAGGTTTTTTTTTTGATTGAAAAGTGGTCGCTATTTGATCATCGATTGTGAGAGACACCACCCCCAAAAACATTTGGGGAAATTTGGTAAGCAATTTGATTGAGCAAAACTCTTGAAACTTTTGCTGATAGGTCTTTTTTGATTGAAATTTTGAGAAACGATTAAAAAAATGCCTCACCTGACCGAATCCTCGCCAGTTTTCCCCTTAACAATGAGGGTCTGTCCGGGCTCGAATGGCTCGGTGAGCTTGCTGCGGTAGGGAACTGGCTGAAAAGAAAATCATCAATTTTTAAAGCACAGACATCATTTTACAATAGAATACTACGGTAAAATGCATATTAACCATAGCTTTTATTAAAAAAAAGGTAAAATACATATTAACCAAATTAAAACTTCGATTAACTTAAAAGTTTTAACATACCTAGTGGTACTTTTACGGCTAAAGAAATGACCCAGTTAAGAAGCTTAGCTGAACTTATCTAGCAATACTGTAGTGTACTATGAATGGAAATAGTATCGTAAAGTACGGCATAGATAAGCAGATTCATTTTTTTAATGCAAATTCGTACGTAGTTTGTCTCAAAAGCCATGTTTTCGGGATCGGAGCGGATGGAGATTACCTGGAAAGCGGGATTTCTTTCGAATTCTGTTTTTAAATGAAAATGAATGAAAAATGAATATTGAAAAAATCTTGGAAATAGCAAAGTTTAAGCATTTGAGGCTCAGCCGCAAAAGACAATCTAATAGGTGATCGAACATTTGATACACCCCTTTCCCATTAGCAATCTAACTTTGAGCTCAAATTTCTTGGTGTTGGGCTTTTCAATTGAGATTTCTTTGGTATCATTAGATGTGTCAAGTCTTTCTCTGTCGATTGATATAAAAACTATTTCTATCGAACAGCGAAACACCAAGAAATTTGAGCTCAAAGGGGCAAGCGTATCAAATGTCTCAGAATCGATTTAATATGAATGAGCAGGTTCTTAAGGCTCTAACTATAAGGCTTGTACGCTAGATCAAAGCAAAACAAGAATAGAAGGCAAGTCCAGATCTATAGAATAGCTTCTGATTGGCTTAGAAACTTTTATGGAATAATTCAAGACCAGCTAAGCTAGCACAAAGCTCTGACTTGGCCTGGTAAAACTACTTTTGGAACAACTCTGATCGGCAAGGATTTGCTGGATTGGCTTAGGCTGTAGAGGCTGAGCTGTAGAGGTTTAAAGTTTAAATTTGCGTTTAAAAATATTTCCCCAATTTCTTTTCCAAATTACAGTAATAGTAGCAAAGGCTACAAATTGTTTGTCACCGAAAAAGGCAAGACAAATGATATTGAAATTGGGAAAATAAATGAAAAATTAGCGAAAGCGGCGATTTCTTCCACCCCTATCAACCAGAGATTGAGAAAAAGTTGAGAAATAGAAAAAAACACTATAGAAATTAGACAAGAAAATGGAGAAAATTGTGGCACTGACGAAAATTTCGATATCAAGAAAAAGATTGCGCAGAGTCAGGGTCAAAGGGGGGAAATATTTTCGCGTCTTTTTCTTTTGATTTTTTTTTCTTTGGGGAATGGGGCGTGGTTTTCTCCCCCACAAACATTCCAGAGTCGAAAATTTTAGGGAAATTTTTAGGGAAAACGATGAGAAATGCAACTATCCATGACTGTTTTTGGGATTTTGATCAATTTTTCGCGGTTACAAATATTTTTGGGGAACTTTATGAGATGGGAAAGGGCGCAATGAGGCTGGGAATCGAAATATTTGGAATAGATTCGGGAATGGAATTCAAATTGATTTTGATGAAAAGTTGTGGAAACGTGACTTTAGAAGAATTCTAGGGCACTCTGACTGTTTGAAATGGGGTTTTAGATTCGCACTAGGTCTCTCCAGCTTTCCAACAACTGGGCAACATTCGAAGTGTTGGGTTTGGTTTGGATTGAGGTTTAGGATAGGATTGGTAATATGGGACTGTCCCACTGGTTAGCTGAAAGGTGATCAAACTGGTGTTGGTGGCAAGGAATGATTAGTAGCACTTCAATTTGAAGAGATCAATTGATGAAAGATATCTCAGATAAATCTCTAAAAGTTCAGCTATAACAAATCGAAACCTTAAAAAGTAATAGTCATGGCGGGGTTATAATTTGAAAGGCGCTGGGCATCATCCCCAAAAAAACAGAAAATAGAGCTCTGTATTTACGATTTGTGCGAGTGAAAGTTTTCGAGGGGTAACAGGAGAAAAAAGAAAGGAAAGGGTTGAGTTTTTGACGGAAAAAGAGGGGAGCTCGAGTAGAGGGAAAGAGGTAAAAAAAGATGGGGAGAATGAAAATTGTTTGTTGGCTTCACGCTCGTTTTCCCGCTTTCCGCTCGATTTTTTTTCGAAAAAGAGACAAGAGAAAATTGAGAAAAATGAAGGAAAAAAATTGAGAAAAAGAAGAAATAAACAAGTCAATAAATGGGTACTTTTTGAGTTTATGATACGCTGAAAAGTGTGAGAAGGAGTTTGATCTAATACTTGATGCTAGCAGCTGTTTGATTTGGACATGGGAGGAGAAATTGTGATTTTTGGGGAAATTGGTGATGTATCTAAAGATATCTGATGAGTTATTCTAAAAGATTTATCACTTTTGAAACAAAATTGGTTAAGGTGATGAAGATTTAAATAAACTGGATTAAGCTTAGCTTTATCTACTGTAAAACCATGGTTTTTTTACAGATATTACGGTAGTTTTGACTCTATGAAATCCAGTTTATCGAGAAAATTCAAGAACTGACCATTACTAGGCACATATTTTATCAAAGAAAGTAAATTTAGTATCAAAGAACTCTCTCTTCAAAGTTCTTTGCAACTTTCCCTCACGGTACTTGTTTGCTATCGGTCTCATAGCCCCATATTTAGCCTTAGATGAAGTTTACCACCCGCTTAAGGCTGCGTTCTCAGGCAACCCGACTCCAAGGAACGACCGACCGACTCCGTCACCACTCGTACAGGACTTGCACCTTCTCTGATCTATGGCCCCAGTCAAAGGGACTTTGAGTAAGTGATGGCGCCAGATAGCCGCACCTATACGCTACATTTCCCCGCGACTAAAAGCCGAGGGATTCAGCGCTGGGCTTTAGGTATAAAAATTTGCTCTAAAAGGTATGCGATTCCTAATTTTGAGCGCAGTACAAGCTCTTGTCAGTAAAGTTTTCAAAGCACGTCAAGATCAATACTTATCGATCTTGACGCTAAACAGTAAGGAATTCGATGGGCAGTTAGCGCTCTAAAGCGAAAGCAAGTGAAATGTATCTAACCAGATGCTACAGACAGTGAGCTTTATTTGAAGGGTTGAGTAATGTAAATCAATCCTATTGCTCATTGATATATTGACAAAAATATTGATACTTTCCGAAAACAGTACAAATGGGAAAATGAAGTCCTTTTCTCTTTTCATTCTTTTCCACTCGTCTCCCTGGGGATTATGGGTGATCAAAAAAAAAGTGAACGCCACTCGTTTTTTTTCCAATCGAAACGAACAACTGAACGAAATGGAGACCACAAAAAGTTTGAAAAAAGAAAAAAAAAAACGACGAATTTCACTTAAAATGAAACCACCTGCTCCACCCCTATAATCATTTTTTGAGGAAATTTAGGAACTTTAGTCGAAAAGTTGAAATTAGATGGGTCGTTTGCTTAAACTTTTTATTTCTTGCCGTCATTTATGATAAAACTTTGAACAGCATAATTTCTAAAACATTAGAATAATAAAATGTGCTGAATTTTCATTAATATTGCATTTGAGAGGTTGAAAGAATGAAGGAATGATTCTAAAAAATGCTAGTTTCATAGATTTGCTTAAAAAAAGTAAAATATCAACTTGAAGGGAATAATTTTAAACAAAAAGCTTTCTTAAAGACCTAAAATGACCTAATTAGATGTTCTAAAAGTTTTCTTTAAACTCCCACTGTATTGCCGCCACGGCTGACTGGCTAAGGGTCCTTTATTTTAGTCGGGGGGTCAAGGTTTCAATCTCGCCGGCTGAATTATTGGTTCGTTTTTAAGCAAAACCTTCAGTTCAGTCCCATCGAATCTCGTTGGGTGGTTACCGACAAGTCTATCAGTTGATTCAGCAAGTTGTTCAGACAAGAAAATGCAGAATCCGTTATAAAGAAACATTCAGAAAGTGGAATCTGATCAGCCATGTTCAGATGTTTCCAAAATTTTATATTAATTATACAAATTTTGATTATAAGAATGTTAACCTAGATAGCAATTGAAATAAAAATTTCAATCTCAACGAATTTCCCCGTAAATATATGACCCAGTCATCTAAAATCGACCTCACTTTTCGTAACTTTTGCTGATTCATTAAAGTTTTCTTTCTGGAATTGAGAACATTGAGAAATCTTTCGAAATGAGCGATAGTTTTTTGGAATGACTCAAAGGAGTGGTCGCTATTTGATCATCGATCGTGAGAGACAACACCCCCAAAAACATTTGGGGAAATTTGGTAAGCAATTTGATTGAGATCTTGATTGAGATCAAGAAGTAAACAAGGGGATTGATAGAAATGGATCTTGAGAACTGATTGAACTGCTTTTAGAAGCTTTGATATTTGCGAACTTTGCAGGTGGAATAGTCGGCTTAAAACTTTCAAATTCACTAAAGCAATCACTAAAAACTGAGCAAATAAATAAAGCTTTGAAACTTTACTGAAACTTTTTTATTCTCCAACTTCTTTTCCATCCAGTAAACACGTCGGAATGTAAACAGAAGAAAGAGATTGGAAAAGAGAAGAAAAGTAGGGGAAAATGAGTAGGAAATGAGTCAGATTTGAAGCAATTGTAAAGATTTTAGTAAAGAAAAGGTTTAACTTATGTGGAAAAGAAATAAAAAACGATGTTGCAACAAGAATCTAGAATATAGTGTACGGTGGAACTAAAATACCGTAAATACTGTAATAGTACCCCACGCCTCACGTACAGTCGCGTAGCGCAAAAGTTTTTTAATATTGGGTTGGTGGAAAAGTCCTTTCGGATTTTTTGGGAGAGTACCTTAAATTTGTCGAATTTTGACGTTTTATAGCTCATCCTAAAGCTGAATTCAAGACGGATCGATTGGTAAAAACCGTTTTGAGATATCTCTTTTCTAAAAGTTTTTACAGCTATTTTAGTAAAGGGCGGCAGAGCCAAAAAATGGCTGTTTTCACGTTTCGTTAGTTTTCCGTGCAGAAACCTAGGCTAAAAACATGTGTTTCGTGATCAGCGTCAAAAATAACCCCTAGACACAAATTTTCAGAATTTTAGCAAAAAATTTTTGAAAAATATTGTCACCGGTGGAAGTCGAACCAGCGACCGTACTTTCAAAAAATGTGTCTTTAGTATCAAAAAATAGCTGAAATTCAGGGCTATTTTTTGATACCTAAGCGCGTATTGTAGCACATAAACCAGTGTCGAGAAAAACGCATTCAAAGCTAGACTACGCAACATTCCGCACCGTCATTATGGGGGTGGGGTACTATTACAGTATTTACGGTAGGCACGTGGAGTACTTGTTTCTGGGAAAAATTCAAGTGACTATAAAATTTCGGTTATTTTATTTTAAAAGACTC